TGCTCTCTCAATCACAGCTTGGTCACGTCTGGTTTTAGGGGTAAAATTGAAAATCACATTTGTTGGACCGTTGGAGAAAAACAGAACCTGCGGAATTGCAGCTTGAAGTTGCTTTTATCATGTATTTTATTTTCAATCTTGTTTGCATTTTTTTTCAGACAACTATTTTTCCTCACTGGTGCCTGAGGAGGCCTTCATCCAGCAGTGGATTTAAACTTTTTTTTTAATTTCATAAACAATTAAATATGATATGCCATATTTCTTGTTACTACAGTATATTGCTTATTCTGATTACGATAAAATTTAATGCCGAAACTGCTATTAGTGTATATTGCTCTGCTCATTTGTCTAATCGATTTTATCTCGAGCACTGACTATTATTAGTCTATCCATCTGTCTGTATCTACTTACCTATCACTTCATTTCCATATCCATCCAGCCATCTCGTACAACATATATTTGCCCTGTAAGTATCTGGGGGTGAGGCATTAGAGTAGTGGTTATCGCGCTGTGCTATTGACCCGGTCACGATTACCGTATTTTCCCGCATATAGCCCGCAGACGCATATACCCCGCAAAAATAGCGTTTTGTGTAAAACAAATTTCAGATAGCCCGCACCTCGATATACCCCGCACGCATTCATATTTTTAACGTCGTTATCGCAGCTTAATTCCATCATATTAATACGAAGTTTACATTTGTAATACATTCCACTGTCAATTGTTAACATTAAAATCATAACGTGCACAAAGAAAACAAACTAACAGGAAACGAACGAACTTAAAACAGTAAATAACAAAAGTAAATATCCAATAAATAAGTAACACATAACTGGTAGATTGTGTTATGAGACCTCCTTTGCCAGAAACAAGATATAGGAATAGGTTTTACCCTTTTAACTGGCACAAAAACTGACACCTTTATTCAAGGCATCATGTTTGCAAACAAAGGGTAAAACCTATTACTTTATCTTGTTTCTGGCAAAGGAGGTCTCATAATGTAAATGCTTACCCCGAGCCCTCAATACTCTGATAGTGCGCTGTTTTTGAGTTGTACGCCTTTTGGCGTCTTCTGGTCCAACACCAATGGAGACTAGGCTCTAAGAAAAGCCGTCTCGGGTGTGGACCAATCAAATTCAAGGACAGTGCATATTATGATCAGAGTTGTCTCTTTTGTTTGCATTTTGACTGCTTGTGTTGTGGTTATTGCAAACATGACGCCTTGAATAAAGGTGTCAGTTTTTGTGCCAGTTAAAAGGGTAAAACCTATTCCTATAACTGGTAGATTGTGCACTGCGCAGATAATAGCGGCACTACGGTAACGCCTTTACCTTGCCCCCCCACCTCTCTCTCCCCCCAGCTGCCCCACCCCCCAACCCCCACCTCTCTCCCCCCAGCTGCCCCACCCCCAACCCCCACCTCTCTCTCCCCCCAGCTGCCCCAACCCCCAACCCCCACCTCTCTCTCCCCCCAGCTGCCCCAACCCCCAACCCCCACCTCTCTCTCCCCCCAGCTGCCCCACCCCCAACCCCCACCTCTCTCTCCCCCCAGCTGCCCCAACCCCCAACCCCCACCTCTCTCTCCCCCCAGCTGCCCCAACCCCCAACCCCCACCTCTCTCTCCCCCCCAGCTGCCCCACCCCCCAACCCCCACCTCTCTCCCCCCCCAGCTGCCCCACCCCCCAACCCCCACCTCTCTCCCCCCCCAGCTGCCCCACCCCCCAACCCCCACCTCTCTCCCCAGCTCTCCCGTCGCCAGTAAACAGTGCGTGCACTTCAAACATTGTCGTTTAATAGTACAAACAATTCATTTAAAACGTGATAACATGTGCAATTTTAGTGTTGCATATTGAATAATCCTACCATGAAAACATTTAAACGAGTCTTGACATGTCACGCGTGTAAAATATTTTTGGGATAGCCCGCACCTCCATATACCCCGCAGGGTCTCGTTAAGTTTGTATAAAGTGGTATACCCCGCGGGTTATGTGCGGGAAAATACGGTAGTCATGTTGTCTGTAATGTTCTTACCCGCCTCTACTGACATCTGTCAAATAGAGCTTCATAGTTCATCGGATTCTTCCAGTATAAATACATGTTCTGATTCTGACACTGATCAGCGTGGTGAAGTATGGTTTAAAAAAACAAAACTAAAAACCTTCATTCGTTGCTGATATGGTGTGGGGTGCCATGCATCCACTTGTAGATTGGGAATGATGGGAATAATTGATTGATTAATTAATTAAAGGTACAGTTTATGCTTGAAAATGATTCCCGTGTCTTTTTTTTACACCTTCTCATTAACGAGAAAGCCTTGGACACACAGCCGAAGGCAACGCATCTCCACGATAAGAACCTCACACCCCGTGGAGGTTTTGCGCAGCCAATATGATACTGAATTGATGTTTTTTTGTTCGGTCACCAAATGTGTGTCGTGAAGCCCCCTCCACCACCCGACGCAGCCAAACAGCTTAAATAGTCCGGTTATTATTTTGTGCTTCATCCGGTGCTCACTTATTTTTATTAACTCGTCCTCAAACCAGTGTCGTCTCTCGCCTTTGCTTCGCAGAAAAAAGACTTCGATCGCTAATCATGCAGGGGGGGAAAAAAGGTATATGTACGGGATAAGATGCTTACTTTTTACAGATGGCTAGGTTAATAATAGGGCAGCCAGCTTGCTCTGGGTAGGATTACTGTCGAACAAGCATCATGCCTTTTGAGGGTTGACATAAATCACATAATCTAGTTCAGGTGTCATGAAAAGCATCTTTGTAATAATCCTAATAATAATCATCTGTCCCCAAACAGTCGTTCGCTTCGGCTAGATTGCTATGTATGTGTGTAGAACTTCTTTTGCATCGTACGTGGCCAACCGCGCTAATCGGAGGTGCTATTCAGTATTCAGTTTCTCTGTGTTCAGCCTGTCAGCTTTCAATTTGTCTATGTCTTTCATTAGACTATCTATCTTTAATCTGGCTCTCCATCTGCATTTATGTTTGGTTAGGTTTCTATCTCTGTCTTCAACTGATCTGTTTGCAATATTTATACATATTGAGTGAAATGTTTGCAATCTGTTTTCATCGGCCCATATTCAGTCTCTCTATTGAGCCTCTAATCTGTCTCTCTGTCTTTCAATCTCTCTTCTTTATATCCCTCTGTCCATCGTCTCTCTGCCTGGCTGACGTGGAATCTTTCCTTCAAGCATTCTTAATCCATCAAGTTATTTATGTGCTTCGTATGTCCGCCCATCTATTTCGCCATGTCCATTGGTAGCCTTTAGCTGCCAGGGACATATGTCGCAGGGCACCCTCTAACTCTAGTAAACCTTTGTTAATTCGACACATATGGGGCCCTGGCCTTGCCAAATGATCCAATATTCCGAATTATGTACAATGGACCTTCCCCGGTGCCTCCTGCCCCAATAGAAAAAAAAATTGTTTTCCAAACTCTTCACGCACCATACGCACCATGCATCAGTTCTATCCAAAACTTTGGATTTGTCTCGCAGGCCAAGAGATTTATCCTCCAATCCCGTTCTGTTGCTTCTTGATGTAGGTGTAGATGACATTTCTGAGAGGGTTGGCTTGCTCAGAGTGCGTAAAAAAAATGTGAAGTCCAAAGCGACAGGCCTGCACTAACGCTCACCACACGCCACTTGACCGAGTCGTTGTTTTGGTCCTGACGTGTGGCGTCTCACCACGTGTATGCAGAAATTGGACCATTCGGGATGCCAATTTGGCTCATAGCGAATTACCAATACTGTACTTTTTGGTTCTTTCGGTAAAGTCACGTAGGTAGAAAAATAAAATAAATAAAAAATAATGCATCACGAGGTTTCGATCGCAACACAAGCGGTCGTCCTCAGGCGGAGAAAATAATCCTGCAGTGTAACTGCTGAACCAGGAAGAACACAGCCTGCTACAACAAGAGGTGATTATATATGTGGCGAAGGGCAAGCAGACCCCGCGTCTGAGCTAGAAAGGAATTCCTTCCCCGCACGCAAGCACATATATATGCCGAAAGCGTAGCCGTGCCGAATTATCCCCAATTACGGATGATCAATTACCGAAATAACGAGGTTTTAGCGTTTTAGTTTTACAGAACGCTGCCAGTGGGATTACGGGTGGTGGGTTTTAGAATATCCCCTTGGCACTGCAGTGTTACAGTAGGTGCTTTAGGGTTCATCCTTTTAGGATGAATTGTGAATTGGTTCTTGTCTTGTTAGACTCCACCACAGAGAGGAGGGCAATCTGAGGGTAAGCTCACCCTGCAGGTGGTGTCAACAACAACAACAATGGACGTGACGATTTGTGGAGTGCTCGCAGAACTTTACTGCAGGTGTCCATTGTGAGTTCAACCAAGGAATGCGGTAAAGAGTGGTGGGGGTGGGTGGGGAAATGCAACGACCATCTGGCAAGCCAGACCATCAATGGAGCATCGATTTTAAAAGGGAATCAATAGGTGGCCCAGAGGTCAGAGTGCTGCACTGGCACTGCTGAGATCCTGGGTTCGGATCACACAATCAGCCAAACTATGATGAAACTGTAGTGAGTTGATGGTCTCACATGATGCACAATCAATAACTGCTCAATAAAAAAACCCCATCGCGTTAAATTTGATTATTCCGCTCTTGATCTGCCTAAAATTTCAGCTCTATGAATTAAACGTACCAATTTGACTATTATTCGCTCAGTGGCAGGGCAAGTGGAAAAAGTGGTGCCCACTACTGTGCAGACCAGAGGTCGCTCACTCCAAGGCATCTCTGCGGCAGCTCTGCGATATCCGCTTACGTGGGCCGTTTCTTCACGCAGAGGGTTGCGCTGTTCTCCAAGAGGTCCATTTGGATTCGTTGTCCAATGACTAGACGCTGATGGCGCAATTGGAATTAAATCGTGGGGGGGGGGGGGGGGGGGGGGGAGGCGGAGAGGGAGGGAAGACCAAGACAAGAGTTCAGAAACCACGTGAAACATCGCCACGCCAACCGTGTTTCCACGCCGGCAGGTGACGGCATCCACAAGGAGGACTACCCTTTCCTGCACGCGGGGGACGACGAGCTGGGGGAGGGATGCGACAAAAACCTGGCGCTCTTCGAGGTGAGTGCAGCAGCAGCAGCAGCAGAAGCCGTCCATTGGCCACCTACAGCGTTCCTCCAGGCGTCCTGATCCGCAGCCCCGAGCCGGCTGTCTGCTGGACCGGCACGGTCGTCATCATCGTCGCCGTTGAGCGTGATGATCCGCGGGAATCCACGGTGGGCGTGCGCATCCCGTTGGCCCGGGAGAGAGAGAGAGAGAGAGGGAGCCCACGTACAGATCGAGCAGCATTGTGAATGCAGATTTCATGAATGGCTCTGCCGTATATATATTAAAAAAAAAACACTCATTAGGTATTACTCTTTTGATTTATTATGAGCCGCAATAATCTTCATGCCGTGAATGAAAGGTTCTGTATAAATTCTGCAACATTGTACCGTGAATGAAAGGTTCTGTATAAATTCTGCAAAGAAACGCTGAATTTTGCAAGAGTTTTTTTTGGCAAGATAATTGGGATATTTTCCCACTTACTGCCTATTATAAATTATACTAATAATTTACATCCCCCCTACCCTCACTGTTCTGGTCTATTTTATATTTGCCGCAGCATGCGGACTTATTATGCCACCTGATTAATAATTAAAAAAATTGGTGAGGCCAGGCAATGATCTTTAACAACCCTTCACTACCTGGCGCATCCAAACAAATTAAATTGTCACGTGGCGTACAAGCATTTAACACGCCAGTTATGAGAGCTAGAGTTCACCCACTGGTAAGTTGATGAACAATTCCCGCAACCATATTTAGCAATGCAATTACTGTACAATGTTGCATGTGAAACTATGTCAAACATCATGAGCAGGAGATCCAGGAAGTCATTAAATGAATTATGACTCATTATATGCTATGAAAACCTACATTTCGATTTAAAGCTTTCGTGACTGCAATGATTCATCTTCTTTGGTTCTTTCGGTAAAGTCACGTAGAATGAGAAAATAATAAATTGATAAAATAACGCAATAATATTCTCACATGTGAGAATATTATTGTGTTATTTTATTTTATCAATTTATTATTTTATTCTCATTCTACGTGACTTTACCGAAAGAACCAAAGAAGAAGAAAACCTACATATCAAATGAAGCCAGTATCCACATGGGAGCCTTACAGCGGACCGTTTAAACAAATAACCGATCACTGCATGGTCAATGAGTCCCTTTCTCACTTTCCCCCTCTCCCTCCCTCCCTCCCCTCCCTCCCTCCCTACCTCCCTCTTTTTTAACCTTAAAAAGTTGATTTACCATTCAGCACGGGAAAACAAGACACTACAGTTTTTACAACTGCAACAAGAAAAATATGGAGTGTAGAAACTAAGTTGCACAATTGGACAGGCAGAATGCCGTGTACAGCATGCACACTGTTATTATTATTATTTAAGCGCAGAAAATTATTCCACCCGTCAAATATAAATTCAAATGGAATCGTGACATTGATGCGGAATGGGACTGAGTTCAGGGTGCATTGTTCACCTTTTATTTCACCATACTGGTTTAATCCCTCCCTCCATCCCTGTGAGTCTGTAGGAGGAGATGGACACACGGCCGATGGTGTCGTCCCTGCTCAACCGCCTGGCCAACTACACCAACCTCCCCCAGGGGGCACGGGAGCACGAGGATGCGGAGAGTATGGAGGGGGCACGGAAAGCGCCTCCCAAGGTAAACAACTAAAACTAATATTCTTAGCTCTTTCGGTAAAGTCACGTTGAAGGGAAACAATAAAATAATAAAATATATATAAAACAATAAAAATTCTCACGACGTTTCGACCATAACACAAACGGTCGTCATCAGGTGTTGGTTTTTTCACACCTGATGACGACCGTTTGTGTTATGGTCGAAACGTCGTGAGAATTTTTATTGTTTTATATATATTTTATTATTTTATTGTTTCCCTTCAACGTGACTTTACTGAAAGAGCTAAGAATATGAATTACTGCAGTCACGAAAGCTTTAAATCAAAACTAAAACTAAATTTTTATTTAAAGCTTTGATAAAACATTTCGGGTCTTAATTGATTGTTCACGCTTACGGTGGCTTTCAGACCGCATCCATTATTTTCGTCTCCCCCCTCCTCTTTTCTGAACATAGATGGACTCGTCCATCTGAACAAACTGCCAAATCGCTCTCCGTGGTGCTAACGTTAAAAAAACCGCCACTTTTTTCAATTTTTCTTGCTGTGGTTTTCACACCTGATGCTGATTGCTTGTGTTGCAGTCGAAACGTCGTGAGAATTTAATTGTTTTATATTTTTATTATTTTATTGTTTCCCTTGTACGTGACTTTACCGAAAGAACCAAGAATATAACTAAAACTAAAAGCTATTTTTTATTTTACCAGGTAAGGCCACCACTGAGCTACATAGCTGTTTTTTTTCTTCAGAAGCGACCTGGCTACAAATGATAGCTCAACGAAGTTCGTTTCTCTTTCGTGTGGAAATTTACGGCAGCCAAATGAAAACATATTTAATCTCTCGTGTCATTCGATGCATGTATCCGGACCTTAGAGAATCAATATTAAATAACGAATCGATGCATCCTTAAACCCCTAACAACCTCTCTATCTTCGTTCTGTCTCTCTATCTCTTTGTGTCTTCCAATCTATTTCCATCTCTCCAATCTTTCTCTCTTTTCTCTCTCTCTCTCTCTCCACCCTGCTGCTGCACCCATCTCTTTCATCTCTCCTTCCCTATCTCTCTCCACTCCTTTCCGCCGTCGCTCCTTCCCTCTCCCCTTGTGCCCCCTCCCTTCCCACCTATCTTGCCTTGGACGTGGGCCCCGGTCTAGGCCCCCAGGATGGGCACCTTCATGGGCGTCTACCTGCCCTGCCTGCAGAACATCTTCGGAGTCATCCTCTTTCTGCGTCTCACCTGGGTGGTGGGCACGGCCGGCGTGCTGGAGGCGTTCTGCATCGTCTTTGTCTGCTGCTGCTGCGTACGTAGAGCTCCTTCTTCGCCCAAGGTCTCCGGGCAGCCCTGATGCAGGACGCCCCGAGGCACACTGCATGGGAGGCACAGTATTAATGTGAAGTGATGATTATAATGAACGCAACTTATTCACGTGAACCAGGCCTATGAAGCTCTCCATACCTATCCTCTCTGCATTTTTCTTCGCTCATCTCACAACATGTTTATTATTTTCTACGTTTCTCATCAACTGCATACCGATTTTCAAAGCAACATTTTTTTAATATATATATTTTACAAAATTGCATTAAGGGCTATTAATTATTATGTTTCTGTGCCTTTGTTTGTGCCAATTATAAACCAAGTATCGTTCTGGACGAGTGATCGGGCACAATGCCTGTCAAGTCTGGTGCCCTTTGATGTTTCTCATCTAAGTGAGACCTTAAATCTGTGGCTCTTTAGTGAGGAATTTTAATTACGAGCGGTGTTTACAAGCAGAGTTAATTTGCATATCCAGCAGCTGAACAATAGTGCCAGTATTCTCGTCGAGTGTTCATATTGTAACGTGATTTGCCATAGCTGGAGTTGTTATTAAAGACATTCTCACTACTGGAATGATGCCACCAGACTTCGCCATCACTTTCTTCTTTTTGATCATTGGGAAACATATCGTAACATCAGTACTTAATATCGAAAGCTTTATGGGCATCGCAAGTGCAAGCTACGTGTTTGTCAATCTTTCTTTCTGCTCTCCACTGTAAAGAAGGAGGGCCATACAGCCCCTTGGCCATCCACTGCTTGATGATGAAAATTTGCCCATTTTGTAAGGGAGTATTAATGATGAAATGTGGGGAGTCATTTATTTGTCCTTGTGAGCTCCATTCAGTTTCAAGCCATTCCCCTGTCAAGGCCACGATGGGCTTGGGCAATGCCAATCATTGTTAATGGTTGGCCATCATTTTATATTGTACCAAATAAATTCTGAAATATGGACTAATCTGATTAATAACCTCCACCGCCCCCCCCCCCCCCCCCCCCGCTAAGTGGGCAACTAGAACGGCAACTTCCAATCAGATCACAGGCAGAGGTCACATGACTGCCCAATGTTGTGAACGCTGCAGAACAATTATTTTTCAAACTCTGTTTTCATTACTCTTTGGTTCTATTCGGTAAAGTCACGTAGGTAAAAAATCAAATAACGTGACTTTACCGAATAGATCCTTGCAGTCACGAAAGCTTCAAATCTAGAATCTGTTTTCATTGGCTACAGAGAATTGCAACACTGTTTGACTGCCTGCCCAAGTTTGCCCATCGTCGCACACAGCAGTTGCGTTGCCAGTGTCAATTGGCCAGCAATGATTGCCCTAAAATTGCCCGAATGTATATTGGCCTTCAGCTCAAATATATATTCTGTGGAAGCCTCAGTGCCCTTACGTTGTAGGGCCACCGTCTGTGTTGAAGTGTCTGACGCTGGGCTTGTTTATTCATCCTCCCTGCGCAGACCATGCTGACTGCGATATCAATGAGCGCCATCGCCACCAATGGTGTCGTCCCGGGTGAGTCTGGGTATTGGGGTCAAACGGGCGCCACGGTGGCGAGATGTTGACTACCTTGCCTGGTATCCAGGAGGTTGTGGGTTCTCCGAATCCACGGGGTTGTTCCCATCGACATTTATAATTGACATGACGCGTTTTAGAGTATTCGCCTGCTGTACATTTCCACGTGGTAAGGCGCTTCGTTGGGCTGTCATTTGTGGCCAGCTCGTTTCTGAACAAGAGCTTCGGAGCTCTGTGGGCCTTACCTGGTAAAATTAAAGAAGTTTAGTTTTTTGTTGAGTTTTTAAAGGTCGGAGTCATCGCGGAGGAAGATGAACACACACGACTGCACACATGGGAGTGTGCAAGTGTCGGTAATAGTATCAGTGATTATAGTTCTTTATGCGGTGATGCTTCTGCAAGTCTCACAAATATCTCAGGAGTGTCCTGTTTGGAATGCATGGCTTATTTGTCATTGAGTAATTGTGCGCCGACAATATTTTGCCTGAAACCCCCCTGGAAATGAGATCTGAAGCTCAAGGGGTCTATCTTGCTTGAATTAACGTTAATAACGTTAATGCTTGGAGAAACCCCATGAGAACCCATGAGAACCCATGAAAACCCATGTAAATGTGGGACCATAACTCCATAGTGGGTGGTGGTGATGATGATGCTGCCGATGATGATGCTGGACAACATTAACGATTGCCGATCGTATATATTCGTTCACGTCACCATGTCAACTCGAGCGCTGGGAGACAGAGGGTGCCCCTTTGTGCTTTGGTGCTCGCCACACCGCCCATTCGTTAACTGCCACGAGCCTCAATTGATGCTCAGCTAAAACAGCGGGTGCCGTCGATTGCAGCGGGCGGCTCCTACTTCATGATCTCGCGCTCGCTGGGTCCCGAGTTCGGCGGCGCCGTCGGCCTCTGCTTCTACCTGGGCACCACCTTCGCTGCCTCCATGTACATCCTGGGCGCCATCGAGATCCTGCTGGTGAAACGTTCAGGCGTGCGCGGGCACGCGACGGTGTTATCCAGTGTGGACACGTTCCTTTGCGCCTTCACGCACAGCCCTTGTGCTGTCTGGATATGTTTTGACAGTCACACACACACAGACACACGACAGTTCTATCCAAACAAAACGCGTTGTGATCTTCACGCGCAACACTTTTCACTTATATACTTTTTATCTGTTTTAGGGTTGTTGTTTTTTTTTATTTCTAGCGATTTACTTACCTGTCCTATACTTTTCACTCTGATCGTTTATTGTATTGTTTGTCGTTGTAACTTTCTGACACACCACCTTACTGGACATCTGTTGAATAAAAAAAGAAAACCTCGTAGCTTATCGGATATCTCCAGTCTAAATAAAGATTCTGAGTCTGGATTGTCATTATTATGCTGCCGCGCCAACCCCCGTGCTCTGGTAGCGGTGGCGAGATGTTAATTTCCTCGCCTGGTATGCAGGAGGTTGTGGGTTCGATCCCAACCCTAATGCCTGTATATTTAACGTTTCCATGTTCTCCCCCCTTGGTTGCGTTTAAGAGTATTTGGCGGCTATACATTTCTCACATGATAAGCCACTTCGTTGGGCAACCATTTGTGGCCAGGTCGCCTCTGAAAAAAATAAAAAAAATTCTGTATAGCTCGGCGAGCATTACCTGGCAAAATCAAGATAGCTTCATCTTGTGTTTCGCCCGCCCGCCCAGACGTACATCGTTCCGTCGGCGGCGATCTTCCGCGCCGAGGACGGCGGGAGCGATGCGGCGGCGATGCTCAACAACATGCGCATGTACGGCACGGCCTTCCTCGCCTTCATGGCCGTAGTGGTGTTCGTGGGGGTCAAGTACGTCAACAAGTTCGCCATGCTCTTCCTCGCGTGCGTCATCCTCTCCATCCTGGCCATCTACGCCGGGGCCGTCAAGACGGCCTGGAGTCCGCCGCACTTCCCGTGAGTCGCAACCTTCCCGCTTCACCGGCCCGAGCTGACCGGCGTGGTGCCGCTTGGGCAACTCAACCCCAACACCACCCCCCAAACCGCGGGCCGCGCGGCGCGTGGGAGGGCGTCTTCCGGCAGTGCTTTGAGACCAATGTTCTTGGTTTGCGAGGCCCGCGGGCCGCTGGCGGTGGCCTTTAGTGCGGGCTCCTGACGTGCGGACGCTGGCAGTGCACAAATGCGAAAGCACCCCATCATGCTGTCAGAGCCGGTGGCTTCAAATGCGCGGCGGCCCTCACACTGATGATGTCTTATCGGCGAAAGTGGCCACCCACTCTCAAAATTGGCGACGTGCGGTGGAATTGATAATCGCAAGGGCTTTGCCGTCCCTCACGGTGTGGACACTGGGGCCACGTGAAGAGTTCCCAGCGGTTGTTGTGTGCGTCGTTCTGTAACACACGGGGTTGCATTGCTCTGCTGGAGAATGGATTAATCATCTCTTGGCGTGAACACCGATGGCACAAGCGGGGGGGGGTAAATTAGTGGGAAGAGACAAACAAAAAAAATATTAAATAAAGTTGCGTGATGATTGCCTCGCATCACTCACTCACTCACACCGCCAGTGTTAAATTAGCACCAACACCACGAATATCGACATCACTATGAACACGAACGGCATCAGCACTCCACTTCCACTGCGGGCATCAGCACCACCTTCAAGACCAACACTGCCGCCAACACCGCTGCCATCAGCGCCACGAACACCATCGCCAACACCAACCCCACAAACGTTGTCACCGCCGTCAAACACCGAGATCGTCAGGTGCCGCTCCCTTTTGCTCACCGGGTTTCTCCTTTTCGCGTCCAAGATTAAGCGAGCCGAATAGAGGTCAACTTAGCTGGAGCAACGTCTCCCGCGCCGCCCTAAACGCCGCCCGGCTGCCTCGCTTAAAGGATATTCCTTTGACAGGATCTGCATGCTTGGGAACCGCACCCTGTCGGGGAAAGACTTCGACGTCTGCGCCAAGACGACGCTGCAGGAGAACGACACGCTTGTCGCGACCAAGCTGTGGAGCTTGTTCTGCGACTCGACCTTCCTCAACGCCTCCTGCGACGAGTACTTCGACCTCAACAACGTCACCGAGGTGCCGGGCATCCCAGGCATGTCCAGCGGAGCCATCCTCGGTAAGCCACCTGCCTCCAGGGTAGACACGCACCTGCCAATTAGCGCGGCCGGCTACGTAAGGTTGCGTAGTCAGTTCAACGCAGCACGGACAAAGATCCCCCGTATAGCATTAACAGGCCGTTGGGGCAAGTGCCGTTAGTGGGCACCCAAGTTAGCGAGCTCCTAAGAAGTTCACCGCACACGGACACACATAACGCACGCGGATGCTTTTTTTCAAGCCGGAAGTTCTCATCGTTCTTTGATAGCGTTGTCGATGCAGCATTTTCAAAACAAATGGAATAACGCCACCAATCCCCCCAAAAAATCGTTACGGTTTTAATCACGGCTGCATTGTGTTTGATTCTCACATGTCGCCGCTCTCACACTGGGTGCCTGAAAAGGTTTAGAAACAGCGCTCGAACGTATTCACAAGGCTGGTGGACAGGCTGCGTGATGGTGCATCTCAAAATAATTAAAATGTTTATTTTTGAGTACCGCTTTGCCAGTCTTTCCCAAATACTGTACAGATGTGGGCATTGGTAAGTCACGTGGTGAGTCCCAGAGCAACTGGTGCAGGGCCTTCGTAGTTTTTGACATAGCAGCGACAAGGAACTCGGTGATGATTTCACTGCGTGTTTATTTCTGTCGTTGCTGGTGTTCAAGAAGAAAAATGTACATTAGGTTCGATCTTCCGCGAAGCTCATTGTCCACCCTAAACCACATCCGCACATAACACAGCATAATGCACAAGTGGAAAAATCTTCCAGAACAGACCGTACAACCTATAACGATGAAATGCCCGATCCACAATATTTATTTATACTGGAGGAATCCGATGAGCTATAAAGCTCTTTTTTATATATGTCCAGTAGGGGCGGGTAGGAAAGTAACAACAACAAACACATATACTTAGCTCTTTCGGTAAAGTCACGTTGAAGGGAAACAATAAAATAATAAAATATATAAAACAATAAAAATTCTCACGACGTTTCGACCATAACACAAACAGTCATCATCAGGTGTGAAAAACCAACGGCAAGAAACATTTGAAAGAAGTGGCGGTTCGCATTTATTTATTTTTAAACGGTGTTTGTATTTATTTATAATAAAAAAACAACAAACACTACAAAAAGCACAAGAGGAGTGTAAAGTATAGGAAAGGTAAATAAATCACTTAAAAAAATATACAAATAAAACTTAACTATTTTCATCTTATGATCATAGGGTTTTCCCCTTTTTTTGGCAACAAAACTGAAACCTTTTTACGAGGATTCATGTTACTGCATTAACCACAATACCTGCAGTCAAAATGCAAACAAAAAACACACTGATAATATATGATGCATTGTCCTTGAAACTGATTGGTCCACACCATAGACAGCTTTCTTTAGAGCCTAGTCTCAATTGGTGCTAGACCAAAAGGCGTCATCTGGTCGAAAAAAAGTTCCAGTTTTCTTGCCAGAAAAAAAGGGGAAAAACCCTATTATTATATTTTGGTACTGGCAAAGGAGGTCCAATGATGAGATATTTTCATCTTACCAGGTATAGCCCACTGAGCTATTCGCTTAATCTTCAGAAGCGTTGTACCTACAAATAATAGCTCAACAAAGTGGCTTACCATGATGCAGTTATCTGGCTTGACCTCCTGAATGTTCAATTGCAGTTGTTTCTCTGCATCTACGTCAGCCATACGTACATTGTATGTGTGTATGTTGAACTTCTTTCGCACCGTATGTAGCCAACCTTGGCTAATCGGAGGTGCGGGGGAGACGAAGTATTGTCACGAGAACAGTCGTGTCACTCGTCACGCTGTGGCTCGTGTGGAACGTGTGGAACAGTTACTCCGGCAAGGGAGACCTCGCAGAGAAGGTTGTGGTTGATGGTGGTTCTGATGGTGGTTGTGTTGATGGTGGTTGTGATGGGGATGATGGTGATGGGGAAAAGACGAAGAAGACGAAGAAGAGGAAGAAGAGAAACATGAAGAAGACGAAGAGGAAGAGGAGGAAGAAGACGAAGAAGAAGAAGAAGAAGATGAAGAAAAAGAAGAAAAAGACGAAGAGGAAGAGGAGGAAGAAGACGAAGAAGAAGAAAAATAATAATCGTCACGCGAAGAGTGATGTCGCTCGTTGCGCTGTGTCTGCCAGAGAACGTGTGGAGCAGTTACTCCGGCAAGGGAGACCTTGCCGAGAAGGCCGGGGTGGAGGCCCTGGGCGGAGGGGAGTACCCGAGCCGCTCGCTGCCTTACGTGTTCGCCGACATCGCCACCTCCTTCACTGCCCTCGTCGGGATCTTCTTCCCGTCCGTGACCGGTTTGTCTTTTGTGCAGAGTTTGTCAACTTTGCCATCGACCGTCGTTGTTGCTGTTGTTGTTCTTCGTGCCAGCGTTTCCACCGTGTCATTGTAACAGTGACATTTTTACGACGTCTGCCATCATCATCATCATCGTCGTCATTTTAACATTGTTAATATTAATCGTTGGATCCTGGCGTGGTGTAATTGTTAGAAAACTTGAATTTCCATCCAGAGGTCGCCTGTTCCATTCCACCGGCACCGGCGCGTCACTCGAAACGATGGTGCCAGATCCTTAAATCCCTCCGCCACTGTGTGATGGATTAAAGCGTGGACACTTTCGCCTCCTCAACACGATGTCCGCTCGGTGTGTAAGAGTAGGCCAACAATTACTTCTAGAGGGGTTCTCTCTTTAGTGGAGGCCCTTTCAGCAGCAGTGGCGTGAGCGAGCAACCGCAGGGTTGCACATCATTCTGTTAAATCGTTAAATCGTTGCGGTGGCTTGCATTTGGTGTTGACACATCGTCTCCCTGTGTTACAGGCATCATGGCCGGCTCCAATCGCTCGGGGGATTTGAAGGATGCTCAGAAGTCCATTCCCATCGGGACCATAATGGCAATCGCCACCACCTCCACTGTGTGTATCCTCTCCGAAGCCAAAGGCGTTTCTCTATAAACACACGGTCCTGACCAGCATGTCGCTCCTGTCTGAGACCCACATGGGACCCAATTAGTGTTTTTTCACAGGGAGGCCCACGTGTGTTCAACGCACCATTTGAATTCCGCGCAAGCGAGGTCACCTTAGGGTTCCTTGTCAGTGGAGTTCAGTGCAATGTAGACATGGGTGTGAACATGAGAGTTTAACAGTGAATGTGGTGCAACACATCATCGCATATAACACTGTCACGTAGCGGCCCTGACCAATTACCCACCCATAGCCAGTGCAGTACATACACATGGCGTAGTTGTCATTTTTTATAGTTGTTCACATAGCCAAACTTTTCACTTCTCCTCCTATACATCAGTCCCCAGCAAGTCGGATATGCAATATTGCACCATACCTATAATATACAATGTGTATGTGGGACTTCTTTCGCACCGCACGTAGCCAACCATGCTGCTCGATGTAATTCGAGTAAAGCTTAAAATGCTGATGGGTCATTAAACAAAATATATACGTAGATGTTTAGAACATTTTCAAATCAATGAAGGCCTGCTATGTATTATGCATGTCCGTGTGTTCTCGACTGCTATGGGGGAGCAGTAGTGTAGCGGTTAGCGCGCTGTGCTATGAACCCGGCGACCGGAGTTCGATTCCCGCTCACGGTCCTGGGCCTCCCCTAGGTCGACTCGGCCTCAAATGAGTACCTGGTGCGGTATGTAAACATCGCCACTGGGGAGACAAAGGCGGCCGGGCGTGGTGCTGGCCACCCACCTCCTCGTGTGCTGTGCTTACCAGCACTTGCCTCAACAGTCTGTTAAAGGCTATCTGGGGTGTTTTGTCTTCGGTTTTTTTTGTGCTGTGTATGCAAATTTTAACTCTCTTTTGCATTATATCCTGCTGAGTGCAAATATTTGACCTTAGGATAATGCTAATTAGATTCCAGCGTGCAGGCTCTCATTATACTTTCAAGTAGAAATATTTATATTTTTCTGTGTAATTTCATAGAGAAATCTCAATATTGATTTCTGACTGGATTAGTATTTGCCTTGCTCGATCAAGAAACATCGACTCTCATCGATGATGCCCTCAATAGTGCTGTTGCTGGTCATTTGGTATTTTATGGGCCCTGTGCTCTGCAACCTTTGATTCGATATTTTTGTTACAATTACTTGGTTATTATTTGCACAAGCACGTTCAGCAAAAAAAATTCAACACGTTGGTCAATAACACGGTGTCCTTGCATACGTCACAATCAGAATATTAATTTAGACTGGAGGAATCCGATGAGCTATAGAGCTCTTTTTCACAGATGTCCACCAGGGGCGGGTAAGAATGTGACAACACCAAACAGTACAAAAACATGATAGTAGCAAAGTACAGGAAAGGTAAATAAATCACCCAAACACAAACAAAACCCCTAAGCCATCTCCATCCTTCCAGGCAAAGCTATTTTCTGAAACGTTACCTACGCTTTTCGCTTATTTTCAGGCCACACAATCTTACTGACGAATGTGTTTAATGTTTTTTGATTGAAAACAAAAAAGTGTCTTGAAAATGTTGCATTTATATTCTTGGTTCTTTCGGTAAAGTCACGTTGAAGGGAAACAATAAAATAATAAAATATATATAAAACAATAAAATTCTCACGACGTTTCGACTGCAACACAAGCATGATGACTGCTTGTGTTGCAGTCGAAACGTCGTGAGAATTTTATTGTTTAATATATATTTCATTATTTTATTGTTTCCCTTCAACGTGACTTTACTGAAAGAACCAAGAATATGAATCACTGCAGTCACGAAAGCTTTGAATCAAAATTTAATGTTGCATTTGTAAAGAGGTCATTGAAATTGTCGTTTATGATTATCGTGCTCAACTGCGATGTCTACGCCACACGCCGTTAAATTGTAGGCACGTAAAATTAATTATTAAATCATAGACTAAAGTCAATGCGTTCCTGATGTGTTCATCAAATCACGAATCCTTTTAATGTACGCGCAATTTATGTGCATATATTAAAATGTTTCTTGTGCACTGGAAGAATTTTAATTCATGAACACGCAGACTTGACGCATGTCAATGCATGCATAGTTCACGTGAACTACATGTGAATTTCTGGGAGCAGCGGAGGAGTGATTAGCGCGCTACATCATGAACCCAGCCCCCAAAAATTTCGACTCCTAGCCACGGCTGACACCGCGGTTCCTGAACCCCTCTTCACCGAACCACATTGACCAGCGTGGGTGAAATATGGTGAAGCAGCCCCAATGACTGACAATGTGTCGGGAGGCCTAAATGACTGCACAATATATGTAAGCTAGCTGTACTACCCGGCTTCGCCCGGGAGTTGGATTCACCATGCCCGGCCGCCTTTGCCTCCCCAGTGGCGATGTTCACACAGCAGAGCTGTTACTCGTTTGATGCTGAGTCAACCTAGGGGAGGACCAGGACCGGTAAAAGTAATCGTCAGCGGTGGTGGCCGTGAGCGGGAATCGAACTCGGTTCGCCGGGTTCGTAGCGCGGCGTAGCGCTAACCGCTACACTACAATGCGTTACGCTTCCACGTGCGCGGGTCACGTGACAGATTTGACGTCACAGCTCACTTGCCGTGCAAAAAAAATATGCATTATTGAGCCCCTCCCCCTAAAAAAAACAAAAGTGTATTTTTATAATTTTTGCATGGTGTACAGTCTGGAAAGTACCCACGTGGCAAATTTCAAGTTTGTTGCATGTCGGGAAGTAGGCTAAACATTTTGAACAGACACACACAATCACAACTTTGCCTTTCATACATATGGAGATGTATCTATAGGCCAGTCACAGTAAGAACACAAATCATGAGCTACAGTTCAAACCGTTCAGTACAAACCAGACAAGCGTTGATGCTTGGAGTCAAAACGTCACCATTTCATTACATTTCCGGGCAGCTGAATTGTTACACGCCGATCAGACTAGCCGTACACTGGCTATAGTGTACTGATGATTCCTAACAGGGTGAAGTTGGTGTGCAGTTGTCTCGTCTCCTTGTTCTGCTGCTGTTGAAAAGAATGCGGCCACAATTTCGTTTTTCAGTCGGTGGCATGAAACAAGGGGCTTGTGCGTACGTGATACGCGTGGTACTGGGGATGCACACGTGACATGCAAGGCGTGATGGGGGAGGATCGATCGTATGGTCAAAACCGCACCTTTTTGCTGTTCACAAATCACGCTTTGCGTTGCGTATTACGTTATTTTCTCTCCCGATGAGTATTTACTTTTTTTAATCGCCAAAAGTTAACGTTGGTTTCTTCTAGATTTGAGGTTTTCGTGACTGCGATGATTCATACTCTTTGGTTCTTTCGGTAAAGTCACGTGGGTAAAAATAAACTAAAAATTAAATTAAAAATAAAATAAATATTTTTTTTGGATTAAGTTGGTTTCGTAGGCTTCCGCGACCAATGTTATCCATAATAGAGATTTTTGAGTTAGATTGCGTGAATATTAATTCTTCCCGAATTGTAAACGTGTTGTGGGTTTACTCTCCAACACACTAGTGTGCTGTACTAGCAACGATTTGGCATGTTTTGTTCACGTGACAAACCCTTATTAATTAATTGGCTGCTGTGTCGGGTGGTGGGCGGGTTTAATGACACATTTTTTACGTAAATCTAATCAAATACAGGTCACTGCAGGGTGGGCTGGTAGGAACATTGAAATTTTGCGCAATTTTATTTTTACACCCCAACAGCACGAGATTTCACTTCGTTAAAGTATTGAAAGGGGACGGACGGACGGACACATTAATCTATTGCAGACTGGTACACTCAGTTTACAACTTCGTTCCTACCAGTAAAAAAACCTCTATTACAAATAGTCTTTTATAGCCTCTCAAATGGGTTTCGCAGTCCTTCACTGACACGCGTTTCTCAGATCTCACCAGCGTCATTCTGTTCGGAGCCTGCGTCGAGGGAGTCGTCTTAAGGGACAAGTAAGTAATTAAAATTGTTTTTTTACATTCAGCTGTAGATTTTGTCTGCATTCAAAAATAAACGAGTACGTTTAACACGTAGGCTTTCGCGACCAATGTCCATAATAGAGGTTTTTTGGTGGTTAAATATATTTACACGCTCTAACCCGAATAGAAACATTGATAAATGAGTACGTAAAATGTTGCACTCTGTTGTGATGTTAATCTTTTTTTTTACCGTACAGAACCAAATTATGGTCTGGATGACTGCCTTAATCAAATACAAATATGAAGGTACTCCATTGTCAGTAGTATACGTACGTTGAAAAAATAATTATGACATCACAGCCTTTTTAAAGAATACAAAGAAAAAATAGTTCTTTTTTTTTCAAAAATGATCATTGTTAAAAGTAAGAAGTGGTCATGTTAATACTTTTTTTTTCATTTCACTTTGGATAAGTATGTATGTTGAACTCACTGTACCTAGCCAACCGGGCGAATCGAAAGTGCGATAAAACCTTGACAACTTGTTGTCGAGATGCCCCAAAGATTGGGATAAAGTCAGAGATCGGCAACCACACATTGTAACATGTTGGATACAAATTTTGATTTAAAGCTTTCGTGACTGCAATAAAATTCTCACGACGTTTCGACTGCAAACACAAGCAATCATCACTTTTTTCAAATTTTCTTGCTGTGGTTTTCACACCTTCGTCGTGAGAATTTTATTGTTTTATATTTTTATTATTTTATTGTTTCCCTTCTACGTGACTTTACCGAAAGAACCAATGATATGTAGGATACAGTTGACCTATAAACCACACGTTTCTGCCTGCAGTAGAAAATTAACGTCTGATAGATCCAAAGTGGACACATGGAACTAACTGAATTGCATTCATGAGATGCATTTCAGTTTGGGACTTTAGAACTCTCTGAGCCTCGGGTATTTACCATTAAGCCCCAAGAGTGCTGATTTTATTATGAATTAGTTTTTTGTTCAACAATTTTTTTTAATGTGGTTTGACAAGCAATTTGTATTATTTAGCCTCATATTACGCACGTTTATCCAAGGATTGTTTCACTTGAGTCTCAAGTATCTTCTTTAGAAGGACCCTGCCAGGCTTTTGCCAGAGGCGGGTGATGTTGCTGCTGTGTCATTTTCAAGGAATTTTTCATCATTGGGATGTTTGGCCAATACCAATTCCGTTGGGTATTTTTTTAAGCTACGGAAGGAAACCAGACAGCCCGGAGGAAACTCATGCCGAACAGGGGGAGAGAACATTCCGGTTTGCCGAACAAATACGTCAAGAGGTCGCGCACAAAGCGCTTGCTTCAAATGAGCCGCGATACTTTTCGATTTAAAGCTTTCGTGACCGCAGGGATTCATATTCTTGGTTCTCTCGGTAAAGTCACCACGTAGAAGGGAAACAATAAAATAATAAAATTAGAACGTAATAAAATAAAATTCTCACGACGTTTCGGCCACAACGCAAGCGGTCACGAAATCTTCAAATCGAAAAGTATTGTGGCTCATTTGAAGCAAGCAAATACGTTATGAGGTGTGCGACCTCATAACGTATTTGTTCGGCAACCGGAATGTTCTCTCCCCGTGTTCGGCATGGGTTTCCTCCGAGCCCTCTGGTTTTCTTCCATAGCCACGGTACCTCGCTGATCTCGTCAAGGAGAATAGACCATCATCACGCAAACTCCGGTCATCCTCGCAGCGGCTTTTGGGCTGGCCGTCGAACGAAAGGCGGTCGCTGCATCGCGCGCTTTCAGAAGCGTTTCTGCGGCCGTCTGGAACGCTCTTGCGACGTTAGGAAGTCACTGGAGCTACACTTAAATCTAGATTGAAAACTGATTTCTGTAGAATTTTTTGTCCTTCCCTGGCACCTCTAATTAGCACGGTTGGCTGCATACGGTGCGAAAAAAGTTCAGCACACACACACATACATAACTCCACGCGTGAGTGCCCCCGAGTCAGGAATCAAACTCAGGGGCCCTTGCGGCGAGGCCCACGCGTTACCGCTGCGCCCACCGTGCCACCATTTTGTTTTCCGCGTGATTCACAAAGCCGTGCGGCCGTTGGTGGCGCAGGTTTGGCGAGGCCGTGAAGGGGAACCTGGTGGTGGGCACCCTCGCCTGGCCATCGCCGTGGGTCATCGTCATCGGATCGTTCTTCTCCACGTGCGGTGCGGGCCTCCAGAGCCTGACGGGGGCGCCCCGTCTGCTGCAGGCCATCGCTAAGGACAACATCATCCCCTTCCTGCAGGTGTTCATCGTCATGATGATTGCCACCATCATGGCGGTCGTCGTCATCACAATTATCATTATCGTCGCGACTATCGTAATTGTCAACGTTGTCAACGTCGTCAACGTCGTCATAGTCGTCAAAATGTGAGTATCATCATCGTTGTCAATATCATAATCCACATTGTCAGGATCGTCGCCAGTATTCTTGGTTCTTTCGGTAAAGTCACGTACAAGGGAAACAATAAAATAATAAAAAAAAATATTAAACAATAAAAATTCTCACGACGTTTCGATTGCAACACAAGCAATCATCACAGGTTGCAGTCGAAACGTCGTGATAATTTTTATTGTTTTATATTTTTATTATTTTATTGTTTCCCTTCTACGTGACTTTCCCGAAAGAACCAAGAATATGAATCCCTGCAGTCACGAAAGCTTTAAATCAAAAATCGTCGCCAGTATCGTTATTGTTAACATCGTCAACGTCATCATCATCGTCAACATCGTCGTCGTGATTTTGGTATTGATGGCATTAGAGAATTTACGAAACACGAGTAATCTGGCAGAGCCTGCGACCATCACACCTTCTCCATGGCTCCCTCGATCGCTCACTTGCTCCAGCGTCGTCTCTGAGCGTTATTCGTGAACAAAATCGTCCGATAGCTATTTTGAATAATTTCACAAACCCTTTAATTTGTTGCCATAGCGGGCGGTATACCGGATTGGGTGTGCCAGGTGCAGAAATATTTTATGGGTCACTGACCCATAAAATAAGACCCTTAGTGGTCACCCATCCAAACACTGTGGCAGGCTCAAGTTTGCTCAGCTTTTGAGATCTGATAAGACCAGGTGCATGATTTGGTCATAGGTACTAAAACTATGAACTAAAACTAAACTAGTTTTATTTTACCAGGTAAGGCCCACTGAGCTATATAGCTCTATTTGAAAAAACGACCTGGCTACCACAAATGACAGCTCAACAAAATGGCTTATCATGATGTGCTAAGTTATCGCAACGAAATACTCTAAAATGCAGGTTTTTAAAAGTGGAGGGAAAAACCGGAGGAACCGGCGAAAAATCCATGCGACTACGGTGAGAACAACTCCAAATATACAGGCGTTGGGGTCTAGTCATTCCCACAACCTCCTGTGTACCAGGCGAGGTAGTTAACATCTCACCACCGTGGCAACGTGTCTTGTTCCATACCCAACGTTATCCTATTGCCTTTTCCTATTCAGGTTTTCGGCCATGGCAAAGCCAATGGGGAGCCGACTTGGGCACTGCTGCTCACGGCCGGAATCGCCGAGCTCGGCATTCTCATCGCGTCGCTCGACATGGTGGCGCCCATCCTCTCCATGTACGGAGGACGCCCCAGCTCTGGCGGCAGTGGTTGTTTGTGTGTGCGTGTCGTGTCTGTGGGTGCGATCGTGTGTGTGTGAATGTGTCGGTGCGATCGGGTATGTGTGTGGGTGCGATTGGACATGTGTGTGTGTGTGGGAATTGGGTATGTGTGCGTGTGTTTGTGTGGGTGCGATTGGATTTGTGTGTGTGTGTGAGTGCGATTGGGGTATGTGTGTGGGTATGATTGGGTATGTGTGTTGTGTGGCTGTGCAAATTGGGTATGTGTGTGTGGGTGCGATCGGGTATATTGTGTGTTGTGTGTGCCTGTGATCGGGTGTGAAGAAGAGCCACTCCCTGTTGTTTGGCAGTCTCCTGCCCCGAGTAGAGGACTGTCCACTCCTCATGGTGGCAGGAGCCAGAGCTGGTCCACCGGACCTCCTGAATACCAGGAGGTCCGGTGGACCATCTTTCGGGAGCTGGACCAGCGGTACCGGTCCAGCTCCCGAAAGATGAGTGGCAGCCTCTCCTCCCCAGTGAGTGTTCGAACAACCCATAGTGGCATGGTCTCAGCTAGCTGATGAAAGTTGCAAGTGAGAATTTCATCATCGCTTGTGGCTTGGGGTGGCATCGTCCCCCACTCCTCCAGATGTCGAGGGGAAATGGGCGAGGTTTAGCGGCTCATTCAGCTGCAATGACTGCTTTAGGAGACCCTGGCTGACAGAGGAGGTGTTCAGGCTGGCTGAGAAAAAGCGACAGGCCCACTCTCATCGGCTACAGCATCCCACATTGGAGAATGAGGAGGCTTACCGCACCCTTCGCTCGGAGGTTCGGAGAGCCATGAGACGCTGCAAGGATGGATGGTGGTCGCGAGTTGCTAAGGAGGTGGAGTCTGCCTCAATGGCACGTGATCACAAATCGCTCTTTAATTCCATCAAAAAAGTAACCTGCAGCGCCATACTTATTACCATCATTAGGGGAAAGAACGGTGATCCAATCTCCGACCCCCAGGAACAGGTTTGCAGATTTGCTGAGCATTTCTGAGGTCCTGGGGGAGGTGAAATCCCTCAGCCTGGAAAACATCGTTGCACAAAGTGGGGATGACCCTGCTGAGGCTGCAGTGTCTCAAATATTGGAAGAAGAAGTCACCCCCTGTGAGTGGCTAGCTGAGGTGCCATCTGTTGAGGAAGTACTGAAGGTGATCCGGAGTCTGAGACCAGGAACAGCACCGAGCAGAGATGATCTCCCAAGCGAAATGCTGAGGGAGGGTGGCGTTTGTGCACAGACTGCCCTATATGGCATAACAGTCTGGACCACTGGACGGGTTCAGCAGGATTGGAAGGATGCCCTGGTGACCCCCCTCTTTAAGAAGGGGGACCGCACAGACTGTAACAACTACAGGGGCATCTCACTCCTCAGTGTGCCGGAAAAGGTCCTGGCAAGGATTATTCAACATCGCCTTGGTCGGCACGCTGAGGAGAGGCTTGCAGAGCCCCAATGTGGTATCAGGAAAGGGCAGTCCTGCACAGATACCATATTTTCTGTCCTTATGCTACAGCAGAGGTGTAGGGAATTCCAAAAGACCTACATCTCTGCTTTATTGACCTGGTCAAGGCCTATGATACCATCAGTAAGCCTGGGCTCTGGGTTGTTCTTCGTGCTTTCGGAGTCCCTGACCCTCTGCTCACGATCATTAAGGATCTTCATGATGGTGAGCGGGCCCGGGTAAAACTACGTGGCCGGGAATTGGAGCCATTCCCTGTACACCTTGGGGTGCGAAATGGATGTCCTCTGGCTCCCACATTATTTAACATCTATTTCGACCACGTAGTTCGTGAAGCCTTCGATAGCTGTACCGGAGGAATTTCCATCTGGTATAGATACAATGGGAGGCTGATCGATGCCCGGGTGCGGTCAAGGGATGGCTCCCTATTGCTCAACCACGTTATGTATGCCGATGATCTGTTAATTGCTGCTCACTCAGAGGAGGAGTTGGAGGCGCTTTTGCTGAACTTGGAGCTTGCCACTAAGAGATGGGGCCTACCATCAGCCTCACCAAAATTAAGCACCTGCCTGGATATTTTGTACCATCGGACACTCCACCCCACAACTCCCAATTGGTGATGGAGTAGTTGTGGAGAGAGTGGAGAGTTTCCCATACCTGGGCAGTGTGCTCATGACTGGCTCCGGTTTGACAGCAGAGGTCTCACTCCGAATCAGTCGAGCTGCAGTATCTTTTCATCGGTTTCGTAACGCTGTGTGGAAGCTACCTGGTCTGTCGCTCCGCACGAAGCTTCAGGTCTTCTCGACCACAGTCATTCCCTCCCTTCCTTACACTTGCGAAACGTGGACCCCCCTAATGGAACATCTTCGCCGGTTAGAAACATTTAGGCTGGCCTGCCTACGATCCATCCTGGGTTTAACCAGGCTGGTTTGCGTGAGAAGCTCACAAATCCTTGCTATCAGAGTGTTTTTTGTTTGCATTCTGACCAAAAGTATTTTGGTTAATGCAGACATGATTCCTTGTAAAAGGTTTCAGTTTGGTGTTTAACATCTTAACACCTGTTGCCAGAAAAAAAGGGGAAAACCTATTCTCATAAGGCACAGCAAGTTGCCACAGTAGGGTGGTGCATCAGCCCATCATCTCAGTCAGTCGACTCGTGGCACCTGGGTCTGTCCCGTGACCTCGTGCCGGCGGGCGTTCGACACTTCACGTGGCCTCAACGTGCACATGGCCTGGCACAAGCGTCGTCGTGATGTCACCGCCACTTAGTGACGAATAGCAGTTGTTGTTGTGTGTGTTGTGAGTGTGGAAAGCGGTAGTGTAGCGGTTAGCGACGCTGCGCTACAAACCTGGCGACCGGAGTTCGATTGCCGCTCACGGCCAACACCAGTGATGATTATCTGAACCTGGTCCTAGGCCTCCCCTAGGTCGACTCAGCCTCAAATAAGTACCTGGTGCGGTGTGAAATAATCCCTAGAAGGGAGACAAAAGCGACCGGGCGTGATGATGGCCACCCACTCCCTCGTGTGCCGCAACAGTCTGATACACGAAGGATCTTTGTCTATACTGAGCGCAAACAGCCCTTTTGCCGATCCACTGCTGGATGATCACCTCTCCTCATGTCACTTCATTCGTGTGGGTTTGTTTAACCATACTTCACCAAGGTGGTCAGTGCAGGTTGGTGAAGGGGGCGGGGCGATGTGTGTGTGTGTTGTGCACTGGCTGTGTGTGTATGTTGTGCACTGGTGTGCTCACAACAACGAGCAGAGCACCGGGCGGCTAAAACACGTTGACCCAGTAGGGGGCACAGGTGGTGCATCGGCCAGTCATCTCATTCAGTCAACCCATGGCACCTGGGTCCGTCCCGTGACACATCACGTGGCCTTAAAGTTCACGTAGCCTTGCACAAGTGCCGTGGTGATGTCACCGATACTTAGTGGCGAATGGCGGTTGTTGGTGTGTGTGTTGTCCAGGTTCTTCCTTATGTGCTACATGTTTGTGAACCTGGCCTGCGCCGTGCAGACGCTCCTTCGCACCCCAAATTGGCGGCCGCGCTTCAAGTACTACCACTGGTGAGGCATGCGTGAGCGCGGGAGGTTGAACCGGAGGAACCAATTCCATCCAGGATCACGGCTCATGCAGTATGGGACCACACATCAGAGCCTGGAATGCGATTTCTGGCCCATTGAGCCCACCTGCTGAAAACAGAATACTATTGAGGTCCAGAACCACACGATGGTGTCGCCGCGGTGGCGAGATGTTACCTCCCTCGCCCGGTATGGAGGAGGTCGTGGGTTCGATCCCGATCCTGGCGCCTGCTTGATCTTTTGGCGTTTGCGTGTCTCTTTCTCCGGGTCCTCCGGTTTTCCCCTCCACATTTGTAAACGCGCGTTTAGAGTATTTGGCTGCGATAAATTATCACGTATGGTAAGCCACTTAACAAAAATAGCTTTAATTCTAGATTTAAAGCTTTCGTGACTGCAAGGATCCATACTCTTTGGTTCTATTCGGTAAAGTCACGTAGGTAAAAAATTAAACAACAAAAAAATCACTATTTTGATCGCTATTGTGATCACTATTGTGATTTTTTGTTTTATTTTTTACCTACGTGACTTTACCGAATAGATCCAAAGAGTATAGTCGGCTTTACCTAGTATAATAAAAAATAAAAGACGTGATCGTCACCGTGTATGTGTGCTTTTTGGGTTTTTCTTTTCTTTCCAGGGCCCTCTCCTTCCTGGGCATGAGCATCTGCCTGGCGCTCATGTTCATCTCGTCGTGGTACTACGCCATTGTGGCCATGGTCATCGCCGGGATGATCTACAAGTACATCGAGTACCGCGGGTGAGCGACAACGTCACCCGGACTCACACGAGACGCAACCCCGTTGAGAGTGCAAAGGGCGTGACGGAAAAAAAAATCCTCTGACCCGGACCTGAGTAGGCCGGAATTGGGGTTAGTCTTAAAGGCTGACGACACGTTTCAAAGTAAAATGATGAATGATTCTTGCGGAAAGTTGTATCGAGCGTTAATGGAATAGGTGAGGTGTAAATTAAGCGTAAATGCCGTTTAAATGTAGTAAATACGGACTAATTAACTGTTTGGAATACGAACGACTTGTTTTATTAATAATTAATTCGTACTGCAAATGCATTAGGTGGGTGTTGGCTGCCTCACGGTTTTCATTTAGCTGCCAAAACAACATTGATCCACAGCTTTCTGCGGTAATTTCAAGGGTATTCCTGCAAAATGTTAAAATTGTTGAGTCACCTCTGAAACCCAATCTCACCGGTCAAAAGGAACGGAGCGGAGTCACCAGGGGATTTACATTTCCTGTAATGTGCCGACTCCGACAACCACCACGAAGTCAGTGCCCCACTGGATGAGGCTGCCTTGTCCAGTGGCGCACTGACAAAGGCCTACGCATCAGCATTGCTATTTTGAAGGTTATTGGCTGAAGTCAATATCAATGTAATCATTCGCATCCGCATCCATTTGTCAATCCAGTGCTCAACGAAGACCTCCGCACACTGTCCGTCGTGGGTGCTGCTTGACCATGCTTCACCATGCTGGTCAATGCGCGTTGTTGTAGGGGTTCACTCAGGAACAGGGTGCTGTGGTGATGAGAAGGTGACTGCCTCACCATGGTATTGAGGAGGTTGTGGGTTCGATCCTGACCCTGACATTTGTATATTTGGAACTCGGGTCACGCTAGACATTTCCACATGACGAGCCACTTGCTTGAGCCATCGTTTGTGGTCAGATAACTTTTAAAAGAGAGCTAATAGCTCAGTGAGCCTTACCTGGAAAAAATAAATATAGTTTTGCTTTGTTAAATTGTCAGTCTTCACTGGTGTGTAGCCGCGCGTCGGGAATAGAACTCGGGTCGCCGGCTTTATGGTGCAGTGCGCTAACCACGGTGGCGCAGCTCCACCTCACTTAAAGGAATACGACACCCAAACAAGAACGAGCTCTTCACTTGTAGATACACACCTAAGGCTGTTACGTAAAATCACTTTAAAATGTTAGGATAAGGGTGCCAATGTGGGATTGTAGCACTCAACCGTGGGTGGTGAAGAGCTGAGTGCGGGGTCAATGCGTGCCACTCACACCGCTAGTCAGTAACTAATCCATACGCGTCAACCCGTATGGTTGACCCATATATTTTTGCACAGGGAAGTTGAGTTTTCAGGTTCACACGGCGTACAGCCGTTTCAATACGGGCCAAACAAAGTGTTTTGTCTATGTGTTTGTGTTTCTCCCTTGTGATGGGACTTTGTAGGATGAACGTTGAGATTTATAAGTGGGCACGGGGGTGACCAGTAAGGTGTGAATTGGTCTGTAATAAGGTAGGGCACTGATAAGGGGTTGACAGGTATGCTACTCGGTCATTGCAATTGTTGTCTGCTTGAGTTAACCAGGCAAGAGAATGACTACATGAAAGCCACGGACTAACATTCAACTGGTTGAATCTACGACTCGTATGACAAATTCTGACCGATTTAATACTTGCCGCCAACCATCCATTAACGGCATCGTTAACTTTATTTACCCTGGAGGAATTCGATGTCCAGTCGGGGCGGGTCAGTGAGTTACAACAACAAACAATACCAAAACGCGATTGGAGTGAAAGGTATAGGAAAGGTAAACAAATCGTTCAACAAAAATATACAAATAAAACTAAATAAACACATGGCCATGCTGCTCCTGCAGCTGCCAGCGGCACGAATAACAAATAAACGAAACCGCATAGCGCTGCATTGAAGTAAAATAAAAACACACGTTGTAGGCGACGTTTTAGGCAGTGGTCCTTCCTCATGCTTTGAGGTGCTGTTATGAATTTGCAGGCGTTCGCCGCCACGCCAGGTAGCCACTTGCAAATCGCCAAGCGCTGTCATCTGCGCAACGTATCGTCGCTTCCACTCACGTCTAATATCATGCCCGGCCGTTCGTTCAGCTGGTCTGACCTGAGCGGTCTGTCTACCTGTCCATCTGTTTTTGCCAGCGCGGAGAAGGAGTGGGGAGACGGAATCCGGGGGCTGTCGCTCAGCGCGGCGCGATACGCCCTCCTGCGACTGGAGGAGGGCCCGCCGCACACCAAGAACTGGAGGTGAAACTCGGCACGAAAACGAGGCCCTCCCGGCGACGAGCAGACGGCGGCCGACATAAAAAAATCAACATCTCGCACGCCACCCCACCGCCGAGCCTCCCGGCTTCAACATTCCACGCCGCCAAAGAGTCCGTCGTACCGAATCGGGACCAGGAGGCATGGCGGATGCGGCCAGCTGATGCACAAATGGGGCGCATTGAAGATTCGGCCACGAATCCCAAACCACCGACCGCATCGTAAACACTCCGCCGCCGCCGCTGTCTTTGCCCATTTAAAGGAGGCAGTGGACGAGGTCCACTCCGCTTCTGATCAAACAATCGAGTGGATGAATCTAAAATTACATCTTTAATCTGCCGTTATTAATACGTACGGCAGGAGAACGACAACGAGCGGAAGCGCTGAGGGTGGCTAAAACGCAGCGAGTTGGTCGCGGTGGGGCCCACAGGTGGCGCGTCTGGCAGCTATCTCAGCCACTCGGCCCATGGCACCTGGGTCTGTCCCGTGACCTCCTGCCGGCGAGCTTTCGAACACTTCACCTGGCTTCAGGGTACCGCTAGACTGGTGCAATGCCCGTGGTGAATTGACTATCACGTGGTGGATAACGGTGAAGGTTATTGCGTGAAGTTTGGAATGTGTTCACATTGGATAGGTCTGCTGCGTGCGCGCGTTTGTGTGTGTGCGTGCACGCGCCAAAGTCAAAATCTACTCGCATTGCGTAGGGCTATTGTATTCAAAGGTCAGAGGGCACGGTACAAGGCTGCTGGTTGCTTTTTGACGACGGTATCTCGCGGTCCAAATCATCGTGCGAGCGCGCGGTTATCCACTTGCGACTCCCATTAGCACGGTTGGCTACGTACGGTGCGAAAGAAGTTCAACGCATGTACATACAGAGCTCTGCGGCCACGACTGGAGGAGGAGGACTCAGCCAAGGGAAGGAATGGAAGAAAATTGTCGAGGCCTTGGCCCAGCAGTGGAAAGGCTACAGGGTGGCAGCATCGTTCATTCATTGCACCCGCTGTGCTTATATGACGTTAAGGGTTTGCTCATGAAACCTTCAACTTGGCTTCGCACAATTGTACGCTCGGCAGGCCGCAGGTCCTCGTTCTGCTCAAGCTGGGCGAGGGCATGGAGGTGAGGGCTCCGCGCCTCCTCAGCTTCGCCTCGCAGCTCAAGGCCGGGAAGGGCCTCACCATCGTGGGCTCCGTGCTGCACGGAGACTTCCTCAGCAGCTGCGCAGAGGCCCAGGCAGCGGAGCAGGTACAGCAGAACCCTTCCTAGCGACGGTAATTGGGTTCCACGAAACCGGCCATTAAGTGCTTGGGCCCTGAAGCGATTAGTCGCTGACAAGGAATGGTCGTTCAAAGGGGTTCTACTTACATTGACCCTGACGACGCCTGCTGCTGCATATTTGGAGTTTGCGCATCTCTCCCTCTCTCTCCCTCTCTCCCTCTCTCTCTCCCTCTCTCTTTCTCTCCCTCTCTCCCTCTCTCCCTCTCTCTCCCTCTCTCCCCGTGGCCGCGTGGATTTCTCTCCGGGTCCTCCGGTTTTGTCCCTCATTTAGAATCAACGTCGCGCGTTGACACCCCGAGACTCACCATTGGAACCTCTTTTGCCAGTAGCAAAATTTGATGATTGTTTTTTTTTACCCTTTTATCTGGCAACAAAACTGCCACATTTTTTTTTAACAAGGAGTCATGTTTGCATTGACCACAATACCTGCGGTCGGAATGCAAACAAAAACACAACTCTGATAATGTATGGACTGTCCTTGAAATTGATTGGCTTTTGGCGTCATGTGGTCCAACACCATGTGAGACGAGGCTCTATGGAAAGCTGTCTCGGGTGTGGACCAATCAATTTCAAGGACAGTGCATAATACATTATCAGAGTTATGTTTTTTTTGTTTGCATTCCGACCGCAGGTATTGTGCTCAATACAAACATGACTCCTTGTAAAAAAAATGGTGTCAGTGTTGTTGCCAGATAAAAGGGTGAAAAAAAACCAATTATCACCCCGAGACTCATTTGGTAAAGCACCCCAATGCCCCCGTGGATGTCCTGAACCTCGTCAGTGGTGGTGGTGATGATGGTGGTTTTGGTGACGACGACGACGACGACGACGATGACGATGATGATAGTTGTGGTAGCGGTCGGGATGTTGGCGATGACGGCGACGTCGGCGGTGATGGATATGCCGACGACGTTCGTTCTCAACGTTTGCCATCCCACCAGTCCATCAAGAGGCTGGTGGAGACCGAGAAGGTGAAGGGCTTCTACCAGGTGGTGGTCTCTCCACGCGTGCGCGACGGCATCTCGCACCTCATCCAGTCGTGCGGCCTCGGGGGCATGAAGCCCAACACCGTGGTCATGGGCTGGCCGTACGGCTGGCGGCAGAGCGAGGACCCTCGCTCGTGGAAGACTTTCATCGGTGGGTGCATTGGAGCGAGTGCGTTGGAGCGAGCGCCGTGGGCTGGAGAGAGTGCGGTGGAGCGGGGTGGAGCGAGTGGGGATGGAGCGAGCGTGGTGGGCTGGAGAGAGTGCGGTGGAGTGGGGTGGAGCAAGGTGGAGCGAGTGGGGATGGAGCCAGCGTGGTGGGCTAGAGAGAGTGGGGTGGAGCGGGGTGGAACGAGTGGGGATGGAGCGAGCGTGGTGGGCTGGAGAGAGTGCGGTGGAGTGGGGTGGAGCGAGGTGGAGAGAGTGGGGATGGAGCGAGCTTTGTGGAGCGAGCGTGGTGGGCTAGAGAGAGTGCGGTGGAGCCGGGTGGAGCGAGCGGCGAGTACGGTGGGGCGAGTATGGTGGAGCTGCTGGTCACATCGGGAGGCTGAGCTTGGAGATGTGGGTGGGTGTTTGGTTGTGATCTCCAAAGTCTGCTCCTAACTCCTTGGTGGCCCAGGTTTATGGTGGTGGTGTTTGTGATAATGATTGTTGTGGACAGAGTGATGATGGTGTTATCTACAAAGATAAGCATAATCGATTGCGAGGTCACCGAAGGGACATCTTTCTCACTATCCTCAAACAAAACCGTACACGTGAGAGACAGCAAAAACAAATAATCAATTCTTGATTAGCAGCGCAACCTCCCGAACTGCGGCAATTCATCAAACCGTGGCGACTCGTCGCAATGCGGGATGCCGGATTAGTATTTGGCAACACCCCCATCCCCTCTACCGCCAGCTGTGCGTCTCACGATTCCGCCCTAATGACCTCGCGCAGACACGGTGCGAGCCACCACGGCCGCCCATCGGGCTCTGCTCGTCGCCAAGAACGTGTCGCTGTTCCCCGCCAACTCGGAGCGCTTCGCCGAGGGCACCATCGACGTGTGGTGGATCGTGCACGACGGCGGCATGCTCATGCTGCTGCCCTTCCTCCTGCGCCAGCACAAGGTGACGCGGCGGGGAGGGGGGGTGGGGAGGGGAGGGGGCCAGCGTCAGTCGCACGTGGTACACGCAAAGTCTCGTGCGCACGCACGTGCAGGGGCTGCTCCTGCTCCGTCGCGCCTCCGCTTAGCACGGTTGGCTACGTACGGCGCGAAAAAGAAGTTCTACGCTGAACGTGCACGGTCACACCGTACATGCACGGTCACATGGGTGGCCAGCACCACTCCCGGACACCTTTGTCTCACCAAGGGTGACGTTTACACATTGCGCCAAGTACCTAGTTGAGGCTGAGTCCATCTAGGGGAGGTCCAGGACCGGTTCAGCTAATTGTCATCACCGGCGTTGGCAGTGAGCGGGAATCGAACTCGGGTCGCCGGGTTTGTCGAGCGGCGTGCTAACCGCTGCACCACCGCTCCCCACGTATCGCAGGCAAGGGGGATGGAACGCAACACGGAGAGTGCGTTCACCGCGGAGATGGAGCGTTGAGATCGGCTTGTGCGCCTGGTGCTAGGCGGAGATGGAGCGTTGTGATTGGCTTGTGCTCCTGGTGCTAGGCGGAGATGGAGCGTTGAGATCGGCTTGTGCTCCTGGTGCTAGGCGGAGATGGAGCGTTGTGATTGGCTTGTGTGCCTGGTGCTAGGTGGAGATGGAGCGTTGTGATTGGCTTGTGCTCCTGGTGCTAGGCGGAGATGGAGCATTGTGATTGGCTTGTGTGCCTGGTGCTAGGTGGAGATGGAGCGTTGTGATTGGCTTGTGCACCTGGTGCTAGGTGGAGATGGAGCGTTGTGATTGGCTTGTGCGCCTGGTGCTAGGTGGAGATGGAGCGTTGAGATCGGCTTGTGCGCCTGGTGCTAGGTGGAGATGGAGCGTTGAGATCGGCTTGTGCGCCTGGTGCTAGGCGGAGATGGAGCGTTGTGATTGGCTTGTGTGCCTGGTGCTAGGTGGAGATGGAGCGTTGTGATTGGCTTGTGCACCTGGTGCTAGGCGGATTGCCGGACCATGGGTGGGTGACGATGGCTGAACGACGACGATTGATATTCTCAATGCAGGTGTGGAGGAAGTGCAAGATGCGCATCTTCACCGTGGCGCAGCTAGAAGACAACAGCATCCAGATGAAGAAGGACCTGGCCATGTTCCTGTACCACCTGCGCATCGACGCCGAGGTGGAGGTGGTGGAGATGGTGAGTACCGCTTGCGCACACACAGGTGCACGGACCTCCACCTGGAGATGGAGCGGACCGCTCGATCGCACACGCGCGGAACCAACACACAAACGCAGGTGCAGTTGCGCTGGTGGTGCTGCTAATGAGATGATGGCGTCGATGATGATGATGATGATGACGATGCAAGTGTTGTGCGACTATGGTAGTGATGGTGTGATGCTGGTCATTTGGTGCTGGTGACGGAGGTGACAGTTGCGGTGATTTCGAAGGTGGGTGGTGGTGTTGATGGAGCGATTGCGATGGTGGTGAAGATCACGGGCACGGTAGCGCACTCGCATAACCGATGTGTGCGCAAGTGCCGTTTGTACACGCGTGTCGTAGCAGCACACGCGTGTAGTAGCAGCACACGCGTGTCGTAGCAGCACACGCGTGTAGTAGCAGCACACGCGTGTCGTAGCAGCACACGCGTGTAGTAGCAGCACACGCGTTTTCGCGCTCCTTTTGCGAACTTACATTCTCAACACACACCTGGAGACGCAACGCTTGCACAGCCGTGCACAGAAACACCCGGGTGCAACAACACGCGCGGCAAAACACGCGGCAAAATCTGATCGGGAAAGTTCCCCTTGCTCAATGGAGTACCCGTGATGGAGCGATGGGAATTGCCGTTTGAGTGTCCGTCGGGTTCATTCATTCGTTCGATCTTTTTTGTTGGCTCGCCCGTCCGTCCGTCGCAGCACGACAGCGACATTTCTGCGTACACGTACGAGCGCACGCTCATGATGGAGCAGCGCTGCCAGATGCTCAAGCAGATGCGCCTGTCCAAGTGGGAACGCGAGAGAGAGGTAACGCACCCCGCGGTTTTGTCACATGGGGGGCCCGGCCGTACCCCGCTAGCGCAGTGGTTCTCAGAGTGCCGTCCTCGGTAACCGCCGGTGGATCTCTGAGTGTGCTCCCCCGGCCCTCAAGGTGGTTCCGCAGGGCTGTGATGCAAACGCAGGTTGATCCGGACAATAATGACAACTTTCAAATGTTTTCCATTTTTCTCTTGCTGTGGTTTTCACACCTGATGATGATTGCTTGTGTTGCAGTCGAAACGTCGTGATAATTTTATTGTTTTATGTTTTTATTATTTTATTGTTTTCCTTCTACGTGACTTTACCGAAAGAACCAAGAATATAATAATAATGACAACGTTTATTATACTTTTTGTTTTTGGACGTTAATTCATATTTGACTTATGATATTTGAGAAAAAAAAATGGAAGTTATGTAAGCTACCCTGATTAAACTACCCTCACCCTGACATCAAAATGCCTCTCCCTCCCCCCCAACCTAAAAAACACCGTGATAGATGCATAAAAAAATGATGTTCCGGTAATGAGTGGTATTTAGAGAGAGAGAGAGAGGTGATTTGTCAACAGGGGTGGGCAGCTGCGTGGTCCACGGGCCAGCAAGGTTTCAGAAACACTGCCCTAGGCCGACAGGAACTCCCCGAAGAAGCTTCAAGCACGTGGGGCAAAACGTCGGACACCATGCCGAACAACACACGGTTACAACATGTTCAAATAAATATTGATACGTTCCCGCCACCGACAACGTCCGTGATGGCGACAGCGTTAGCTAACTTTCAGACTGTGTGCAGCCAGAATTCACTTTCCACCTCGAGTTGAAACAAAAACGAAATATTCGTAAATGCGCTGACGGTACGGAATTAAACTGTGGTTATGTGCGCAGTGGATACAAGGTACCACGTGCACGACCATGCGCACGTGTGTGTGTGTGCACGGTGAAGTTTGTTTCATTCGGTGGCGAGTTGATCCAGCAGTGCCCAGACGTTCACGTCTTGCGACATTTGGAAGCTACTGGAGCTATGCGCGTTGAGATCCAGATTGAAAACTCCTTTTTGTGTTTAGTTAGTTGTCCTTCCCCCCCCCCCGCCCCGCACCTTTGATTAGAGCGGTTGTCTACGTCTACGTACAGTGCGAAAGAAGTTCAGCGTACACACATACACGTCGAGTTTGGCGAGAGAGCTCGTGCGAGCCCGGGGCAGCCTCACGGTGACTGCCTGAAACGGCGGCAGCGGACGATGGAAGCGGGCGGCGGCGTGGTCCACGGCTCGAAGACCGCCGGCGGCCGCGCTCGCTCTGCAGAATGTTCCTGACGGCCGCTTGTGCCGCGCGATGCGGCGAGAGTCGGTGACGCCGTGTGAACGTGCGCGCCCCATCCCGCGCCCCCATCCCCATCCCCCCGCTTTAGATCCAGAGCATCACGGACGTGTCGCGGGGATCAATCCGCGGCAAGCGCCGCCGCGGCGGCGGCCCCGGCGGCCCCGGCGGCCCCGGCGGCCCCGGCGGCGCCAACGCGACGAGCGACACGGACGAGCACGGCACGACGACGGGGTCCGAACCGGTGTCGCCCGAGGAGGTGCGGTGCCGCGCCCCGTCGCTCGCGCAGCAACCGGCGCCGCTCGCCGCCGTCGGCTGGCCAAGGATAGGCGCGACGGTCGACCGCTGGCCACAACCAGTGAATCGATGGGTTATTTTGAATGAGAAACCAGCTCGCGGGCGGTGTCGTAACGATGTGTGGGCCACGTTGAAAGAGTTGGCAAAACAAATCCCCTCCAGTGGGGGGCTCCCGGCCGCTCCCTTCAATAATGAACAACAAGAAATGACACCTGGTGTTCGTGCCATTGTCGTGCAAGGTCGTTGCGAAGGCGCTACGCTTCATGTGGGATAGAGTCAGTGGCGAGTGATGTTGCCTTGTGGTTTAATTGCTCCGGTCACCCTCACGAATGAGATTGTCCTTGTCTGTGCGAGTCGTCGCATTGATAAACAGAATAACCTTGACATTTGAAACCTGCTCGCTCAATTACGAGCAAAAATTGCGGTGCTGCAACTTTACCCCTTACAACAAAAAAAAAGTTTCATTCGCCAGGTTAAAGCCCATTGATCCGTGTAGCTCTTTCTCAAGAGCCGTGCAGCTCCATTTCAAAAGCCACAAATGATAGCTCAACGAACCGGCTCATCGCGTGGAAATGTAAAGCAGCCGAATAATCTAAACACTTGTTACCAAATGTGGAGGCAAAAAACCGGAGGACCCGTGGACAAGTCCACGTGACCACGGGGAGAGAGACACGCAAACTCCAAATATACAGTAGGCATCCTCGGGGTCGAGATCTCGCCCACGACCTCCTGCATACCAGGCGAGGGCGATAACATCTCGCCACTAATCACCGCGCACCGCCCACCCCCGTCGCACCCCGACAGGCCCAGCTGGTGAGAGACTCGAGCCGGCAGTCCCACTCCGAGAGCCTGTGCTCGTCGGAGGAGGAAGGAGGAGGGTGCGGAAGCGGAGCCGGCGCCTCCGGAGCCGGAGCCGGAGCCGTGGGCAACGAGGTCGGGTCTTCTCGCGCCGACGCCGTCACCGACGGCGACAAGATCCACATGACGTGGACCAAGGAACGCGAGCAGCGCGGCCAAGCGCCACCCAGCGCCAACACTCCCGAGGGCTTCCGCGACTTGCTCAGCATCAAGCCGTGAGTAGCGCGGGGGGCGGACACCGGAGTGGCGGCAGCGGTTTCGGTGGCTCCGGGTCAGTGTGCTACGTTAGTTCGTTCCGGGATTTGTTTTGTTTGTTTTGTTTTACCGACAAATACAAATGTAAGGTGCTTTTACCTGTAGCAACAAGACATTGTTATTTGACAGAGACGTGGTATTTTGTATTTTTCGGCCCATCTGAACAGACCCTGCCCTCCCTGTCCCCCATTACCAGCTCACACTCGCCAGAGTGCCGAAGTGCGGTCAAAAAAAAACCCCATGACAGGCACGGGGGATTGAGGATGGGTGGAAGTTAAAGGTACAAATATTGTAATAGAAGCAAATATAGCAGCAAGAAACAAGCTGAGATGGTCCAGCCCAGTACATTGAACTGGGGGATTTCAACTGCGAAACGCGACGTGAGCCTGGGAACACACACAAAGATCCCCCGTATAGCCTTAACAGACTGTAGGGGCAAGTGCTGTTAGCGAGCACCTATGAAGGCCACACACACACACACACGTGCACATAGACACACGCCACCAGCTCCAGATCACATGAGCCTGGTGGCGGCCCAGTGCTCGTGCACGATCGTGCATTGCGTGCACGTTGAGCCTCTTTCTCGCCGTACGTAGCCAACCGCGCTAATCGGAAGTGGCGGCGGTGAACAAGCACAGAAGACGTGGCGTGGTCGTGCCAAGCCGCCGCCGCCGCCGCCGCCGCCGCTACAACGACTTGCTCGTTCTTTTCCCCAATTGCTGCCAGGAACCAGTCGAACGTCCGGCGCATGCACACGGCCGTGAAGCTCAACGAGGTGATCGTGAGTCGCTCCCACGACTCGCGCCTCGTGCTGCTCAACATGCCGGGCCCCCCACGCAACCCCCACGGCAACGAGAACTGTATCCTTCTCGCTGCGGCAGCGTGACTGGGCGGGGGGAGGGGGGTGATGATGGTGGTGGTGGTGGTGGTGGGGGGCGGGGGGGGGTAACACCATTCGGAGCCTGACACAATCTATTTCTACTTTATTATTCGTCCAATTGTATTCGGATTTTTTTTTGCACCGTACGTAGCCGACCGTGCTATTTGTCGGAGGTGCGGGGTAAGTAAAAGGAGTTCTAAAGGGTTTTCAATCTAGGGCATGCGGCTGGCTGCGGTGCGTAAGGTATCACTGGACGTGCAATCCGGAGGTCGCCGGTTCAACTTCCTCGGTGCGGAGTGAATGTGGTGGGGTATAGCGTGGGTACTCCTACTCCATTCTAATGTGATGCATCACAATTCCTTGACGTGTCTCGACACCTTGTGATACCGGGTCAGAGCACCGAGCTGGCATCCTAGGTTCGAATTTGGATTTCAGCCACTGGAAATAAACTTGGTTCTCAAGTGGCAGGAAGTAGATAGTGTCAGTATGATGATGTTCAGTATGATTTCACTATGATTTCATAATAGGGTTTTTCCCCTTTTTTTCTGGCAACAAAACAGGAAACCTTTTTACAAGGATTGCATTAACCACAATACCTGCAGTCAAAATGCAAACAAAAAACATACTATGATAATATAAGCCGTCCCTTGGTGTGGACCAATCAGTTTCAAGGACAATGCATATTTTATCATAGTATGTTTTTTTGTTTGCATTTTGACTGCAGGTATTGTGGTTAATGCAGACATGAATCCTTGTAAAAAAAGGTTTCAGTTGTGTTGCCAGACAAAAAGGGGAAAAACCCTATTATTACATTTTGGTACTGGCAAAGGAGGTCTAATGATGTAGCTGCTCACTATGATTATGAACATTTTTCCCAGCTATTCCAGTTGAGAGAAATACGAACGCTGGTTTCATTGACGTGCGACAATCGTGGCAAATTAAAACCGGCGCTTCCAGTGCGGATTGAAGAAGACCGCTGCTGAGACTCCAGAAGAAAAGTTCGTTCTGCGGTGTGACCTCCGAGGACCATTCCCTGACACAATGCGGTGCACTGCTCGCTGCCGGTGCTCCGTATGGTAAAGTCTTCGACTCACGACGGGTATGGCCGCGGCACAAATCTTAATACAGTTGGGGGATAAATTGCAAGCACGCTGAAAGAAAAAAAAAACTTCTAATATTATTTTTCCCAGCCGCTGCCAGCTGGCAGCGAGGAGTGGTGGGCGGTAAGGCGGAAGCACGGATAATGAGGGTGGCACTCGCCAGAAATAAAATGCCCTATTGATCGGACGATTGATTTCAAACTTGCTGAGAAATTTCCGGGAAGCTGCATGATCAGTTTGCGCTAAAGCGTGGGCTTCTGCTGTCCTGTCGGGGTGGGGGTCATTGCTTTAAACTGCCGCACGTTCCGTTTAATTTACAATGTTTGGCCAGTGCCTTATTTTGAGAGTCGTTTTTTGTGTGTGTGTGTGTGTGTGTGTCCGTGTGGGAGGTAACCAAAGTGCGGAAGAAAATCCCCACGCATATGAAGGGAGGAACTTTTAACCTCCATGCAGATAGATCAGCATCCTGCTGGCTGTACTGCACTGCCTCCCACAGGTGCCACACTTCTGGTTCTTATAGTGGGGGGATGTCAAACACATTGCCCTGAGCAGGGTTTGTGAATTACACCCCCACGTTGCCGGATGAAGACTGCATGGGGAATCTTTCATCCACCAGCGGATGTTAACTGCCTCGCCCGGTATACAGGAGGTCATGGGTTCGATCCCAACCCTGACGCCTGTATATTGGGGGTTTGCGTGTTCTCTCCCCGTGGTCGCGCGGTTATTCCCTCCACGTTTAGAAACGTGCATTTAGAGTATTTGGCTGCTATAAATGTGCACATGACAAGCCACTTCGTTGAGCTATCATTTGTGGCCAGGTCACTTCTGAAAGAGAGCTACATAGCTCAAGTGGGCCTTACCTGGTTTAATAAAGCATTGTTTCATAATTTACTTACGGTGGGGGATCTCAAGCACGCAACTTTCTTAGCCGCATGTGTCAATTCCACCTCCACGTTGCCGGATGAAGTAGGATAAAAAAATAAAAGAAATAAAGATTTCCCCGTGATCGAGACGGCACGGGGAAGCCTTCAGCTGCCAGTGGATTAACACAAGAGCTGTGGGGATTATGCGAGTTGCAGCAGATTGTGCGCAATGCCTTCACCCGCTTAGTACGGTTGTAAAGAAGTTGCCCCATGCGTTGCGTACAGCCATGCGTTACCTTTCATCCGCCGCTTCGTGCCCCAGACATGGAGTTCCTGGAGGTTCTGACCGAAGGCTTGGAGCGCGTCCTGCTTGTGAGGGGTGGCGGTGGCGAAGTGATCACCATCTACTCCTGATTCGGACGGGAGAGAAGCGGCCGCGTTCCCGGTGCTGTGGCTCGACAACAACCCTGCAACAAAAACAACAAAAACAACGATCACGCTGGAGGGGGAGGGGGGGGGTGGTGTTGGGCACGAGCCCTCCCGTCAGTCGGGAAACGTAAAACACACGGTGCACGCCGAGGTCTGTGGCCCGTTAGCAGTTGTGGCTTCGTGTCTTGTTGTAAAGTGTACTCGTTGTAGTTAGCGTGGGCGAGGAGTCGTGTTTTAAATCTAACCGGTCGGATCGGTGGCAGCCTTGGGCTTAGGTCTGGCCGTGCACGGCCGGCGCCGTCCGATCCGGGCCGTGCGTTTTTTGCCGCCGGGAGTTTCGGGCGGTGCGGGCGGTTGAGCCACGGCGACATGTGGCGACCCAGCTGAGGCTTTATGCCTCTCGGTTTAAAAAAAGGTTGTTTCATTATTTGCCAAGCGTCGGCACCCGCGCATCCGCCGGTCGTCATCAGTACGTGGGTGCCCACATTAATGGGAAGGAAAGAACGATGCATTTTAGTTGTAAGGCACAATCTCCTTTTTCAGTTGTGTTCACAGTTCAAGCGCTGACAAAAGGAAACGAACACAAGCCACCATAATATATATATATATTTTGCTTGCCTCTGAGATATATAGATGTATATTCTTTGGTTCTTTCGGTAAAGTCGCGTAGGTGGAAAAAATTATAAAAAAAATAAATTAAATCACGACGTTTTGATTGCAACACAAGCAATCATCATCGGGTGTGCCAACCACAGCAAGAAATATTTTTTACTTCAGCAATCGAAACGTGATTTTATTTATTTTTCCACCCACGTGACTTTACCGAAAGAACCGGAGAATATGGATCCTTGCAGTCACGAAAAACTTCAAATCTAGAACATATAGATGTATGTATAATCAATGGGTGGTGATGATGCATTTCGATTCGTTTTACAGCACACGATTCTTCAGTGTCAACGTGACCTTTCAATCAAAGTATGAATATACTTTGCTACCAAAAGTCATTACAATGGAATCTCGTTGAGCTAGCAAATCAGGCACCGAGAGCACAGAGAACCCTAGTCAAAGTGCTGTTAAATTGCCGTTTGTGAGTACACAGTGTGCAGTGATAACGTGACCTACATGGATACACGGATGGACAACAGTGTTTTTGTTTTATGATTACAATTATGCCTGTGTCCAAACTCACCTGGGGATATGCTCCCTATCCTGTTTCTTCTTGGAAGCTAAGCAGGCTTTTCAGCCTGCATCGTGCTTTGAATGGGGCCACCAATCTTGCACGTGAGGTTGTCGTCGGCAGCCGCAGCACTGTGTGGTGAGCAGCAGAGGGAAGTGGATGCACATCTATTATGCTGCTACTCGTCATCCTCCCCACCTCCACCATTCCCCAATGAACCAGCGTGTTGTATCGTCTCGTATGGGGCTTGGAGGGCCCTCCGTCTAACAGTGAGGTTGACAAAGGGTACAAAGCGTTGTCGCTTTGCACTGTTAGCGTAGGCGTTATTGCTGTTTACAGAGACTTGGTGAGGTGTTCTCGGCCTGTGTTTCCGCACGATGCCTCGACTTTGAGCCACGTGTATGTATGTGTGTGTTGAACTTCTTTCACACCGTTATGTTGCCAAACGTGCTAATCAAGGGGCGCGTGGCGTGGGGGGGGGGATGGGCAAAAAATTAAACACTGGGAATTGTATTTGGGTAAAGAGGATGCTCTGTTGGCAGATGCAGCACAGTCGCTACTGTTACTCGGGGGGACCTCTTTGATATGACCGGTTGCTGGTGCAATTGGCCTGGTAATGTTTGCGCAGTCAGGATCCAGACTGGGTCTAAAGCATGGGGCTCGCATTGAGTCACCACTGCACATATGTTCAGCATCTAAATTAAGTGTAATTTAAATACAGGTTAATCATACTCTTTGGTTCTATTCGGTAAAGTCACCTACGTGACTTTACCGAATAGAACCAAAGAGTATGGATCCTTGCAGTCACGAAAGCTTCAAATCTAGTACAGGTTAATCCGCGATTTACGCAAGGGGGATGTGCTCTAAACAACAACAAAAAACGCGTAAAACGAAATATCGTCAATGGGAATGGCTTTTAGCCGCTTAATATTAAAAGTTAAGGATGTATTTCGGACTCGGCTTGCGACCTAAAAATATACAACACCCCTATCACGTTTCACAATGCACACAAAAAAAGAACGTGACTATTAAAACGATTGAATCATGATGATTATTATTATTATCATTTAAACAAAAATAATTCAACCGCACGTCGGAATGACTGGCGAGGCGATGGTGTGGAGGCGTTGCTCCTGTTGCGCTGCAGGGACACCGTGACGCTGTCGCCAATGCCACAGCCTCCCGAGGGGCTTCTCGTTTGATGATGTCGTGGCGCGTGGCCGTAGTGAAATTTCGTTGACGCGGAAATTCGATTCCGTTAATCGAAAAGTATCCACAATTTGTCAGTCCTTTGGTTCTATCCGGTAAAGTCGCGTAGGTAAAAATAAACTAGCAAAAAATCACGACGTTTCGGCCACAACACAAGTGGCCTTCATCAGGTGAAGGGACTGGACTGTCCAGAGGACAGCGTTGGAGTGAAGACAGCCAAGCCCAGGTCGCGTCCTTTAAGCTGTGTGGGAGGAAACAAACATTAAACTAATTTTCAATGGTACAGTATATTTATTCAAGTAGTGGTATCCCAAACTTTCACAGCAGCTTATTGCCCTTCACACCAACATTATGTAAACTCCCCCCCCCACCGTGCCGGTCCAGTACATCATTGTTATGCTACATCATTGTTATGCTACATCATTGTTATGCTAATTCCTTTGTCAAGGCGTTTTTTTTGGTTTCCTCCCACACAGCTTAAAGGACGCGACCTGGGCTTGCTGTCTTCACTCCAACGCTGTCCTCTGGACAGTCCGGTCCCTTCACCTGATGAAGGCCACTTGTGTTGTGGCCGAAACGCCGTGATTTTTTTGTTATTTTACTTTTACCTACGTGACTTTACCGAATAGAACCAAAGAGTATGGATCCTTGCAGTCACGAAAGCTTCGAATCTAGAATTTGTCAGTTGCGTAAACGTGACATTCCGTAAACCGAACGTCCGTAAGTCAAGGGGTACCTGAATGTGGTGTCATTACTTTTGTAACTGGTCGAATTGTGGCACAGCGGTTAGTGCACTGTGCTATGTACCTGGAAACCTGAGTTTGATTCCTGGCAACGGCTAACGTTACCAGCAAGTGATATCTGTTGGTTATTTTGAACATACTTCGCCATGCTGGTCAATGCAGGTGCTGCCCCCCCCCCACCTCTATCAACCCGGATTGATCAGCATGGTGAAGCATGTTCAAACAACCAACATGATGCACGTGGTGTGTAGTTTACAGGCAGTCCGGCTGTGGATCGACAAAGAGCTGTAAGTTATTTTAAGTTAAAGAGCTGGTGTCGGAATTGTGCTGGGTTGCTGCCGGCATTACGATATGCCAGTAACGTGCGTAACCTGGAAGTGATTTGCCCGTCTTTCGCTCACCGGCTGGGACTCAACTGAACCAGCGACCGTCGGTTGATCACCACCCACGCCGCTGCTGATGGAGAAGGCGCGGACAAAACCGCACGCACGCACGCCACCACCGCCACCACCACCACCACCACCGCCACCACCGCCGCCACCGCCGCCACCACCACCACCGCCACCACCACCACCGCCGCCGCCCTCGAACGCGTAGCATTGGCTAAGCGACAAAAATACTGCCGCTCTGCAAAACGCCTCCGGCGGCCATTCACAAGTGATTTTATTTTTGGTGGGGGGGTCCAGGAAGGTCGCGGTAAATGTCTTGAGTGGTTAACGAGTGTGTGCCGTCGTGCCCTTGTATTTGAAAGAGGGGACAGCTAAGACCTGGGGTTATGAAAGGGATTGTGTTTAAGGTTAAGAGTCGGAGTTCGGGATAGCGTTAAGATATGTGGTTAGGCATGGGATTTGGTATGGGGATAGGAATAATGATTTGTTTTTGGATAGGAGTGGTGTTAGGCAAGGGCTTGTGTTATGATTAAAGATGGGGTTCATGATCAGGGTAGGGATGGAGAGAAAGTTAGGAGATACACAAGAGTTCAGGATCGATATATTCTTATGCTTAAGGATAGGGTTAGGGATGGAATTATGGTTATAGTTTCGGTTATGAATTGGGGTATCCATAGTGTTATGTTTATATATATATAGGATTAGCGTTCAAGATAGTGTGAAGAATGCCATCAGCGGATAGGGATCGTGTCCTGGTTGAGTAGTATTACCATTGAGTTCAGCGATGGTGTTTGGGCTGCTCTTTGGCCCCATTGCTCCGTTTCCGTACATCAGTGATTCAGACGTCAGCGCAAGATCCTTAGCACTTCATTTAAAACCTTAATTGTGTGATTGTTGACCTCAACAATGCTTTTACATCGTTTTATCGAGGAGGAGGAGGGAGGAGGATTTTTGGCCGATTTGATGTGATGTCGTTTAGCCGGCTCTTCACATTTGCAAAGCGCTTCTCAGCCACTTGTAACTCGTCACTGTATTGAGGGACTTGCTGGTGAGTTCGATGCTCAAAAATACCGCCAATGTGTGAACACTTGTTTAAAGTCAACTCGTTTGCTCCAAACTCATCTCTTTGTATTGCCAATTCAATTTTAAGTTTTCGTAAGGTTTTGTAAAAAAAAAAAATATGAAAGACAAATAATTGCAAATGATTGTTTGTTTTACCTTAATCGTTACATGTCGTACACTGTGAACATTTGAAGAAAATAAAATCGATATAATGTGGTTTTACAACAAAGGATATATTTGGTTGCTGACGTTGTGTTTCAAATCCCAATCTAAAAATTATCTCAGAAGCAGCGATGAGACAATTTGCAGGGATACCAACCAAACAGAAGATCGCTTTTGTCCTTTTGAATCAACGTGATGGGTGTATGTGCCGTGGTGGTGAGATGTTGACTACTAAATTAATTCCAAAAGAGATTTAATGCATCGCGCGTGGATGTCAATCAAAGTCAATTTGAACATTTGTTAAAATAAATTAAATAAACCTTCGTGACTTGTCAAAATAAATATAAAATATATTAGGCACCGCGGTGGCTAGGAGATGTTAACTACCTCGCCTGGTGTGCAGGAGGTCGTGGGTTCGATCCCGACCCTGACGCCTGCTGCTGTAGATTTTAAGTTTGTGTGTCTCATTCCCCGTGGTCGCGTGGATGTTTTCTCCGGTTTTCCCCTCCACATTTAGATTCATGCTTTTCGATGATTTGGCTGCTTTAAGCTTCCACGTGATGGTAACCCACTTTGTGGCCCGGTCGCTTCTGGAACAGAGCTATATGGCTCAGTGGGCCTTGCCTGGTAAAACAAAACATTTTTAAAAATATATATTTTAGTATGTGCCTAATGCACATTAACAATCCGCAAGGAAATCGATACGGTCGAAATGCTGACCGACGACTATCCTATTGTTGTCACGGTCAATGTTAAGAAAGGTTGCATGATCACACCACATGTTATGAAAGCTCAATATGGATTTTCATGAAATCTGACCAGCTTTAGGTCAGCATTGTTCAGATACAGTGGCGGCGGGTGGCTATATATATTAGTTTGTTACAGATGCCCCGCACGGAGTTTCTAATTGTAAATATATATATTATAGAAATGTATAATATTATATAAATGTATAATATATTATAGACATGAACGCTAAGAATAGATGTTACCCGTTATGGCAATAAAATAGGTGTTAAGATGTTCAAACACCAAATGGAAACCTTTTTTCAAGGAATCAAGTTCGCATTAACCACACAGTACTTGTGGTGAACTTGCAAACACAAAACATGATCTGATAATTCATTCCATATGCATTGTCTTTGAAACGTATTTGCCACCACCAAATACACACTTCTAAAGATTGAAGAGTTTTGCTCATATTTTGCTTAAATGAATAACAAAAATAATACAAATGACGAGGCCGAGACGCTCTGACCAAACGTAAACACGTACACATCAGACATCATGGTCAGCACATTGGATCGGGGAAATGAAGACTGGAATAATATAGCACGATCAAAGTAAATACTAAAACAGCATATCGGACTTCTTGACGACGACTCTGCCACGAAGAAAGTGGCAGAGTGGAGCTTAAGATCATTACGGGTAAAGTCAAGGCACGGTTACCAGTTCACTCAACGAAGGAATATAATTGTTGAAGGGGCAACTGCTGGAAAACACCACAGATTCACTGCACCGTACATACACAGCCCTCGTCTCAATCCACTGCTAGACTGTCGCGCACATGGCCTCCCCTGTTTTTTGCAGGATTTTTTTGTATCCTCTAACGTGAAGCAGACGACCCGTAGTAGTATTTTGAAAGCAGACGGCACGTCTGCTTGGGTGAAAACACTGCCTGCAGTGTTAACCAGGGCGGACGCTGGGGTGGAACCGCTCAGCCATGGCACCGACTTAGATCATCGCTGATGATTATAATGCCATTCACTTTACACTTTGCGCACATTAGACATCTGTGGACACGATTGCTGCGAATATTGTGAGGACACTTTTCAACACCACGCTCTGAAGATCCTTTAAAAACGACCTGCAGGTTGCTCGCAAAGAGACGCATTGCATTGATGACAATGGTAGGAACATAATAATAATACAAATATATATTTAGAGTTGTGATCAGCCATGGTCTGTCCGCTGCAGGATAAAGCCCCTTCTGAAATGTCGCCAACCCTCGTGTTTCTATGATGACCAACATCGTTTCCCTCCTGCGCATCAACCGGTTTTGTATCTCTCACACACACAGACACACGTGGACACAGGACGCAATTTCAGCCGGGGCTGTCTGGGTCGGTGACCCATGAAAAATATATTTTCACACCCGGCACACCACACCCAGTATACATCTCGCTCTGGCTCTGTGATATTATCATTACGTGCCTTGCTCCGTGCGGTGTTACCAGCGACCTGTAAAAGAAAAAAAATGAATATATTGAGTGAGAAATTAACGCTCGGATTCCAAACGATACAGAAGTGACACGAGATCGACAATCACAAACAAGATGGTGCCAGCGAGACCGACGGAGCTTTCGAAGACAATGCACTATTGACTTCTGTTTGCATTCTGACCA